AAAATAGGTACATGACTGAAACATTAATTTTACCATGAGCTTTTCTTTTGTTTTTAATTATTTAAAAGGAGTATGACCTTTATTTTCTTGGCTGATGTGCAGTACTGTATACTTATGGAGATATGATCTGCAGAAAGTGTCTTTGAAAGTGAGGGAAAATGTGGGGTGAGATTACTACTCGTCCACCTGTACTAACCCCTTGTGTACTGTATGAGGTCGCCTCTGAGCTGTACACCCCCTTGTGTACTGTACGAGGTCGCCTCTGAGCTGTACACCCCCTTGTGTACTGTACGAGGTCGCCTCTGAGCTGTACACCCCCCTGTGTACTGTACGAGGTCGCCTCTGAGCTGTGCACCCCTTGTGTACTGTACGAGGTCGCCTCTGAGCTGTACACCCCCTTGTGTACTGTACGAGGTCGCCTCTGAGCTGTACACCCCCTTGTGTACTGTACGAGGTCGCCTCTGAGCTGTACACCCCCTTGTGTACTGTACGAGGTCTCCTCTGAGCTGTACACCCCCTTGTGTAATGTACAAGGTTGCCTCTGAGCTGTACACCTGTATTAACCCCTTGTGTACTGTACTGTACGAGGTCGCCGCTGAGCTGTATAAAATATTACAAGTGACGTCCCTGTAGTGATGAGGGTTACCAGGAACTGCAGGAAATGTTCTGTAAAAGTAAACATTTGGTCAAGGTGGAGGCGACAGTTAGCACCAGAAAGAATTTATGGAATTGAACCAAAGTTTCTGGAGATATTATTTGCATGATACTGAATGCACAGAAGTGAGAGAATCTACTAGAACCTAACTTAACTTCCTAACCTATGCATTGTCTTTTCGATCTTCTTTCTATCATCCGAACATTCGTAATAAACACACTCGATGAGATTGTAGTTTGTTTTCTAACGTGTAAACAAAGATTGCAGACACTCCCATATAGCAGATGATTGTCGGCACGGGAGATCTGACGGCACCGCAGTTATTGTAAATATAACCCTCTTCTTTCGTGCCCTGTCCACCAACAAGTAGTTTATGATTGAGGGATGAGCTGAAAAGAAATAATAATACAATGTTTCTGTTTTATTACTCTCCATTATCAAATAACATTTGAAAATTTAGTGCAATTCCATAAAGTCCTTCAGGTGCCAACGGTCTCCTCCACCTTTACCAAACATGGTTCTTACCTTAGTATTATTCCCCCAAAGTGGTGGGACTACAATAAATTCAAATTAAGTCAAATTTCATAATTTAGTTTTTCATTAGTTATTATAAAGAAACGCAGTTCTATCCAGTCCAAGTTGTCCGGTCAGCTGGACCAGGTTAATAGTTGCTGATACATTACGTATATGATTTATTTCGGGTAAGATGAACCAACCTAACCCAGGATAGGTTGGTTCATCTAATATGAAATAGATGACATAATCTAGCAGTAGCTGTTAAGTTGCTCAACTCTTTATCAAAAGTGTTTCACAACAAAATCACACAACTTACTGTACAGTAAACCCTCGCCCAACAGAGGGGTTAAGTTCCTCGAAAACTGCGTTGGGAAAAATCGCGTTGGGTAAACTTGGCTTCTATGGGAATAATGGGGTGGCGGGATCGTGGCTGCGTATGGACTCTTATCACGTGAAATGCGTACCTGTTTAAGCATTTACATAATGCACAAATATGATAATAATGAACTAACAATGAAAAATATTGATGTACAGTCAGCCCTTAACATACGCAGGGGTTAGGTAACAGAGATTTCCGTGAATGTTAAAAATCTGTGCACTATTGTTTCCTAAAAAACCCTGGCCCCCCATGTCCTTATTTACCGTATATACCTGTGTGTAGTTCAAGTTTTTAAGACCAAATTATTTGGCTAAAAATTGGGGGTCAACCTCTAAACGGGTAATAGTTTTGTTGGGTTGAAAAATATTTACCAGTAACTACCAGTAAACAATGGAAACGACGCACCAACACACCACCAGCTGTGAGTTTCGGTACAGTTGCCAGGGCAGACCTCTTGCGTCATCATAGCAAGCCCAAAGTAGCCAAATCCATGGTATGGTATGCACAGGACGATGTAAAACATAAAGTATTCATTTTTTAAAGTTTATTTATAGATACTGTACATAAATTATTGTTCATTACATTTAAAATATCAATCTTTGTTAATTAAATTTGAAACAAAAGAAACCTACGATACCGTATTTTCATTAGAATATTACATCACAAGTATATTTTGCCTTAACTGTGACTGAATGAATATATTCTCAGAAATAAATATGGAAATGTAATATTTTTGCTGGAATGACGTACGTATTACAGTGGAAAGTGGGATAAAATCATGACGAAAACAATGACTTTCGCTTTCCTTCGTTGTTCAAAAGATTTTACCGTAATCGCTTTTTGAATGGTTTTCAGTTAAAAAACTGTTGTACTGCATTACAATAATATTCTATCCTATCATTAGCCTCATAATCCCACAACTGAAAACCATTCGAAAAGCGATTACGGTAACATCTTTTGAACGAAAGAAAGCGAAAGTCATTGCTTTCGTCGCAATTTTTTCCCACTTTCCACTGTAATACGTACGTCATTCCAGCAAAAATATTACATTTCCTTGTTCTCAGAAATAAATAGTAGTTTTGTTGAAACGTAATGTACAATATTTAATATTAAAATGCAAAAATAGCTATAAAAACAATTATTACACCCGTAATGTACTGGCTGGCATCTCCACTCGTCCCTGCTCCCGCCAGTCACCTCCTCCCCGCTCTATCCCTCCGCCTCCTCCACATCGTCACTACTGTTGTATTACAATAATATAATATCCTAATTCACTTGAATAAATACTACGATACCATATTTCTGAATATTTTCATTAAAATCCATCAAAATCATTTTCCTTGTCATCGTCTTCAACACCAAACAGCTCCTCCCAGTCTTCTCCTTGAACAGGACTAGAGGGTACGTGTTTTTCAAATCATTTTCAGTTAAAAAAATTTTTACATCACATGTATATTTTACCTAAACTGTGCCCGAATGAATATATTCTCAGAAATAAATAGTAGTTTTGCTGAGACGTGATGTATTTCAATGTGAAATAGGATAAAATACATGACGAAAACAAAAGACTTTACCTAACCTTCCGATGTTCAAGAGATGTTACTCGTTTTTATAATAGTTTTCGGTTAAAATACTGTTATATTACAATAATATTCTATTCATACTGTGCTTGATATAATGCATTCACGGAAATGTAATATTTTTGCTGAAATGATGTACATATTCCAGTGGAAAGTGGGATAAAATCGTGACGAAAACAATGACTTGCTTTCTTTCGTTCAAAAGATGTTACCGTAATCGCTTTTCGAATGATTTTCAGTTAAAAAAACTTGCATCACAAGTGAATTAGGATAGAATATTATTGTAATACAAAAGTTTTTTAACTAAAAACCATTCAAAAAGCGATTACGGAAACGTCTTTTGAACGAAAGAAAGCGAAAGTCATTGCTTTCGTCACTTTCCACTGTAATACGTACATCATTTCAGCAAAATATTACAATTCCATATTCTCAGAAATAAATAGTAGTTTTGCTAAAACGTAATGCATTTCAATGTAAATTAGGATAAACTACATGAAAACAAAAGACTTTACCTAACCTTCCGATGTTCAAGATATGTTACTCGTTTTTTAATAGTTTTCGGTTAAAATACTGTTATATTAGTGATATTCTATTCATACTGTGCTTGATATACTGTAATACATTCACGGAAATATAATGTTTTTGCAACTACAATGCTGATGTCAACACAAGCGTGGTTACAGCGAGACTGACTGAGTGAGGGAGCGCGAGGTGGGGTGACGACGCGCTATGCGTGTGTGTGTGTGTGAGGTAGCGGGAGCAGGAAGTGTGCAGTGTTCGGTGCCGCGCGCGATTTGAATGTACTTCAATGACTTCAATGTCCAAAATATTCCTCCGGCGGGGCAATCCGTGTATTTGCGAATCCGTGAATGCTAAACCCGCATATGTGAAGGGCCGACTGTAGTAGGTAGTTACCAAACAGGGAGGTACTACCGCCGGGGAAGATATTGGAAGAGTAATGTGTTGTCTAATGGTAGACCCTGCTGCCATATGGCATCAAGAAAATTGTGACCAAGTCCCAGGTTGATGATCCGACTTTCTGCCTCATTTACACACAATTGTAGGGTCTCAATTGTTTCTCTTACCATTGACAACACAACATACATATATTGTTTCTCACTTCTGATCTTTTTTTTTTTTTTTTGTATTTCTTTGTTTCTTTATTATTATTATTATTATTAACTCAAGAGCCCACAGTGTTCACCATTACTACAGCATTAACTCAGAGCCCACAGTGTTCACCATTACTGCAGCATTAACTCAGAGCCCATAGTGTTCACACATCTCCATTAATAGCGTGACAAGTTCTGTAATGTGTCTTCACAGTTACAATGACAGCAGTATATCACGTACAGTCATGAATATAAGCCTCATCACCTCACCTGCTGCTCCACGAACCCCGAGATTCAAGCTCATGAAGCAGAAGCCGTAGACACTGATACATTGTTCTGTCCACGGCTACATCGGGTTCACGAGCCTCAATCTTAGAGTTTGTGGAGCAGCAGGAAAGGTGGCAGGACTTTTATTCATGACTGTAGCTACTGTACACATTCCATATTTAATATAGTCTGTATTACTTGACCATTACAGTACAGTACTGGTAACTTTTATTCCTTCTTCATCATGTACTATACACTAACACTGCAGCTTCTCACTACAGTACAGTACTGTAACAGTAATACCATATAATAATTTTCATTAATACTGTACTGTATTATTGTACTGTACTACTGTATTATCTCTGTCATTGATGCTTATTTATTTCAAGACATCTATTGGTTTACTTTGTGTTAAACTTTTTTTTTTTCTCCCTTCAAAACGTACAAATAAGTGTGAGTGTAAAGCATTACCTACTTATTCTGTGTTCCAGGATGGTGGGTACACGAGTATATGTAGGAGGCCTGAGTTACCGGGTGGGTGAAAGAGACCTAGAGAGATTCTTCAGAGGATTTGGCAGACTCAGAGACATAGTCATTAAGAATGGCTTTGCATTTGTGGTAAGTAATTAATATAATGTTACTGTCTCAATAAACATATATTTTAAGGTCAGGAAAATGTTATGTGTAGCCAGAGTTTACACTGTATATGTCTGGCATGAGAGAGAAAAGATAATGTTTTATGTGTATTTTATTTATTGTGTTTCTTATCTCTCCTCTGGTCCCACATGTGTACGGTGAATCAAGAGTTAAAGAGAGGGAGAGTGGTACAAGGTCATATAGAACAGTACACACTTGCTCATATCTTAACTGAAGTGAATCCTTATGCTCATCATGACAATACTGTACTGCAGCGCTTCACGTCAAGTCGCGCTGTGTTGAGTCACAGGAGTTGTTCGTGTTTGTGTTATCTCATGTGTAATGGGTCCCACTGTCACACCATAATTATTCCTTGTCAGACTTTCAACTGTTATGTATGCCTTATCAACCCCACATACAGAGACTACATGATGGTGTGCGTGAGTGTCAACTGTATTGTATGGGTGTTAAACTAGGAGTATCAAAGTATGGTACTGCCAGGACTGAGAGATGGATATTTGAGAAGTATATTATGGAAGTTTGGAGAGTTGGTTAAGAGTGAGAAATGATGGTATAAAAATACTGTATGTGGTGTGGTGTGTCTTGGAGAGCTGAGTAGAGGAGAGGACACCGATATAATTACTGTGCTGTGTTCAGGGTATATAAAACACAGGGTAGATGAGAGATGGGTAAAAGAGCAGCATATTTAAAAGCAAAAACATAAAATGAAAACCCTGGAAGAGATTGATTAACTACGCATTAAATAGTTAAGATAGAATTTTCATATATGATCGTGGTAAAAGGAGAAAGTAAAGTCACAGTCATGAAGATGTCACCTGAAGTACATAGATAAGTTTCAAGGATACGTTTATGTTGGATTGAACAGATCCAAAGCTTATGACAGCTTTTGGGTCACTCAATGTTACCACTGCCAAAAATTTGAACACCCTTGCTTCAGGCTGTCACAGGAAGCCCAATTCTCCAGTTTGTGCCTTCTGTGCAGGCAGTCATGTGTCTAGGACATACTCAAATAAGACCTCACACAGCTGTGCAAATTGTTCCACTCTTACAGTCCCACCCAAGTCGTTCAGTCATTTTGCATCAAGTAAAGATTGCTCTATGATGACTTCCCAACATAAAAGAGTTGGGAATTCATGGATCAATTATCTTGTTTCTTGTTACTTTACTTCCTCCAAGTTCTATGAAATTCTTGATGTAAAAAATCTTGTCAGTCATGTGTCGCTTCCAACACATCTTTCTGGACACACACACACACACACACACACACACACACACACACACACACACACACACACACACACTAGACCTAGTTTTGTCTCTTGCTGACTGTGATCAAGTATTAGATGATACAGTTGACCTGATCGATCCAGCAGTCTCTGACCAAACTTTGGTTACTTTTAGTTTTAATGTCCCAAGACCCCCTTTCTTACAGTAAAATAATTACTTTCAGGAACTATAGAAACATTAACCTGACCATGATTGATCAGGAAGTGATCATTCTTTGAACTAGATCAACTCCCCTGTTTTGTCCTCTGACGAGATTATTGGATTACATAAGGATGTCTTAAAGTCTCTTTCAGAATGTTATTTCCAGAGGTCATGAAGACAAATGTTTCAAGGCTCTGTTTGTAGTTAATGTTTTGATCATGTGCAGCCAAGTTTGTTGGGGATTAATATACATTTTGGCTGCTGAATAACATAAACACCCAAGCTGGTCTGTGTTGTAAAATAAGATTTTAGGATCAATAAGTTTTCCATGTTTATCTTCTATAGATGACATTTACTTCACTGTACATTTTTTTTGCTTGTTAAATGATTGTATCTATTAGAACTTTAGTTTAGCTGGTAAAATTTTATTGGCTGTTGCAGTTGGCAAAAAGAGAAAACTATTTAGCCACAGTACAGCACAACACACTACAGTATAGTACAGCACAACACAGTACAGTACAACACAGTACAGTCGGCTCTCATATTTGGACACCTATTTAAGCTGTAAAAACCTCGCAAAATAAAGATCGTCCAAATTTAAATACAACTTCCTATGGAGAAATTTTATTTGAGTCTGGTACTTTCGATGTTTGGCTAATTTTGCCTCATTTACCCTGTTTTTTTTGGGGGCGAATTACTACCTGTAATAAAGCAACATCCTAATAAACCAACGAAAATAACACAGATAAAGTTAAATAAAAACTAAAAACAACAGAAAAAGTTTTTATGTTCTACAGCTTCAGCTAGAGTTGAACCTGATGACTTGGCAACTTTGTCATCCAAGTAAAAATACACACAACAACATTGACTGTCCTTATGTTTTCAACTTTGCCACCACTGGTGGGTAGAATTTTTGTTTTAAATTCAGAAACATTAATTAAAATATATATGAACAGTAAATAAATGTTGCTTTCATATTCTTATGTAGAGTAATGACGATATGTTTTCACATGTGCGCACTTACATACGCGATCTCACTTTTTTTTTACCATTAATGGTTAGCTACTTCCATTGTTCCATTTATTAACATTAAATAACATTACTTAAAACAACCATATTAAATTTTTACATTAATTTTACTACAGCCACAACCAGGGTCTTATTTTCTTCAGTTTTATATGTAGAACCAGTCAGTCACTGGTTTTGTAAACATTAACGAAAACAATGCCGTCTCGTCTCCTCGTGTGTTTTAATATTCTACGTATTATTAATGAATTGTATTGTTCATTTTGCACACATAAACATTAATTAAATCAAAAAGACATTCAGTAATAAACAATAATGAATCTTTTGTACATAAGAGAAATGACGCCGTTACACGATTGTGCACATCTGAACGTTGGCGGGCCGCTGAAACCCGTCAAAATTCGAGTTTCCGCCGTCGAAATTTAAAATTGTGTAGTGTTTTTTGTGTGTCCAAATAAAAAACATCAAATTAAAAATTCACAAAATTTGAGAACCTACTGTACAGTATAGTACAGGTACAGTAAATATAGTACAGCACAACACAGTACAGTTTAGTACAGCACAACACAGTACAGTTTAGTACAGCTCAACACAATACAGTATGTACATAAATATGACTGACTCACACTTTCCATCTTGCAGGAGTTTGATGACCACCGTGATGCAGATGATGCAGTCTATGAGATGAATGGCAAGGACTTAATGGGGGAAAGGTACAATTCTATATCAGTCTTTATACTCTTGTCTCGCATTTATATCAAGGAGATGGTACAGTACTGAAAGGTGTTTTAAACAAGTGTAGACAGTAAAGGTAAATACTTTAATACACTAACCGTACTGTCACACCATTAACACAGTGGAACCTTAACCTTTCATTGCTTCAAACACTTGCCCTGGCATGTTAAATATATTGTAGATGCTGTGAGAACATTTCATACAGATATATTAAAGGATCATAGTAATATGGAAGGCAAGGCAGCCAGATGAACTTCTTGCTAAATTTCTCTCAGCCAGTTACTCATTCACAGTGTACTTTTAATTCATTGTAATATCTATGTGTTTTGTAAGTTGATAAATGTGATGAACAACTTGTTTTTTCTGGATACTTCTCACTTACATTTCTTAATACTCTTGATCCCATACCACACCACAGTGTTGTGCTCTCATTAATGATGACACCATACAACTTCCCTCCCTGGTATGCTTAACCTTATCATCACAAATTAATTCAAAGATAAAGGAATCGAGTCAGTTCTGTATACAATATACAGTACTGTATACATTATACCTCTGACCCATATTATCCTCCATAAGTTATTTTGGTATGTTTGAAAACTGTGTACTTTTGGCTTCATCATCAACAATGTTGTACGGCCATTTTTCTAACTTGCGTGGGTTAGCCGTGATCACCCGATGGCAGCTTTCTACCCTGCAGCATTTTCTCTTGGGTTCTTTTCTCTGATGCTATTTCTTATAACTTCTACCCACATCATTCTTGGCCTATCCCTGACTCGCCTTCCTTCCACATTCGGACTCTTCCACCTCTTGACCCTTTTGGACTCGTCCATTCTCTCCACATGCCCAAACTATTTCAGCTTCCTTCTATGCAGACCATCACCAGTACAGAACTTCCAATATCCAGCCTCCCACTGAGCTCTCATCAGGACCTCTTTGTCTTTGTGTCACATTAGACATCCACTCCACCATTCTCATTACAGGTCACACAAGCCTGCTTATGTTGTCCTCTTTAATTGTCCATATTTCACTTCCTTACAACTTTACACTTTGCATGCCAGCTGCAAATATTCTTCCTTTCACACAGAGGGAAGGTCCTCTTGTCTTCAATAAAGGCAACATCTCCCTAAATTTCCTCCAGCCACTTGTAACTCTTGCAGCTGAGCAGGCTTCAGCACTCCCACCTGGGCCAGGTAACAGAACTTATCAACACAATCCGGGGAAATATCCCCAATGTTAAGCTTCTTCAGCCTTGCTATGGACACTGGTTACCTGTGCATACAGAACACAAAAGTTAATAGCATCCTCAGTCTGCCACCTACTCCACCGCACCTCATACTGTATGTACCTATGTAACCACCTTTTACACTTATTGCACATTATTGACTTTCTTCCAGCAACATTCTTACAGACAGCACAGGCCAGCTTCCACTATGGGTTCTTCTCCCATATGCCACTATATAATCAATTGTTTTATTTTCTCCACTATTCACTCTTACACCCTTGGACTCCCTTCCATTTCTTAAATTTCTCCGCTTCCTCTTCAGTAATATCTGCTATCAGCCCTAAGTTGTCACCATATAACAACTCCCAGGACAGACCAGTCCTAAGATCCTTTGATATTGCCTCCAGCACCATGATAAACACAAGGACCTGTACTGTCACCTCCAGCACCATGATAAACACAAGGACCTGTACTGTCACCTCCAGCACCATGATAAACACAAGGACCTGTACTGTCACCTCCAGCACCATGATAAACACAAGGACCTGTACCATGTCACCTCCAGCAACACAAGGACCTGTACTGTCACCTCCAGCACCATGATAAACACCTGTACTGTCACCTCCAGCACCATGATAAACACAAGGACCTGTACTGTCACCTCCAGCACCATGATAAACACAAGGACCTGTACTGTCACCTCCAGCACCATGATAAACACAAGGACCTGTACTGTCACCTCCAGCACCATTATAAACACAAGGACCTGTACTGTCACCTCCAGCACCATGATAAACACAAGGACCTGTACTGTCACCTCCAGCACCATGATAAACACAAGGACCTGTACTGTCACCTCCAGCACCATGATAAACACAAGGACCTGTACTGTCACCTCCAGCACCATGATAAACACAAGGACCTGTACTGTCACCTTCAGCACCATGATAAACACAAGGACCTGTACAGTCACCTCCAGCACCATGATAAACACAAGGACCTGTACTGTCACCTCCAGCACCATGATAAACACTACTTCCTGTGGTACCTTCTCTCAGTGCAGTACTGTACATCTTTCTCTCCTTCCATAGTTGTGTCTCTTGTAGCAGCCTTGCCATAAGTGTCTCTCATCTCTCTAAATGGCATGAACCCAAACTACAATTCATTAATGTCTCCCTCTCTTATCAATTTCTCAATCACTCTACAATTCATGACCAGCTTCAGGTTCCTTTAGCTCCCACATTCAAGTGCATCACCTTTTCACTTGTAATTATTCACGGTCACCCACTTCCACCTTTCGTCTGTAAAGTATGCTCCATCATGATTGACACACCAATAGTCTCTTCAACCTATGTTGGTAAAAGTGAACCTTGTCCCCAATGTACCTGATTGGTGGATGTCGCCAGCAACAGACAGTAGCCACCAGTCAATCCCAACCACCCCTTGAGTAGTGATGTCCATTCTACTCACCTCTTTGCTCAGTTAGTCTCAGGGAGTGTAGCCTGGTGTGAGCGCATCCTAATACAGTGAACCCTCAAAGATTCGGACCCGGTAAATCCGAATTTTGGGAGATTCGGGCAAAAGAATTGGGGGTTCTTGGCTAAGAAGCATTCCCAAAACAGGGTGAAGGTAGTTTTAGGCTTAACGTTTTTATCCTATAAAATGTCAGACTAAACTTAGCAGAATATAACTTACATTGCTGGAATCCTTGTAAGATAGTGAATCATTTTAGTATTAACATCACATAATTTGCACAAGAGATAAAAACTTTAGTCCTTTAGTGTAGTACATTTGAGTACAAAGTGAGTACAGTTATATGTTGCTCAAAATTATAGCCTTTTCACAGGTAAAAGTCTGTATAACTAACCCCAGTGGTCTGGATAATATGTACTGTATTTTTGGTGTTTTTTAAATCCTTATTTATCGTTTTTATACATTTAGTTCATTCACCGGAAGAGTCTGACAATTGGCTTCTTCTGACAGGTGGTCCACCCTTTTAGTCCTGATCTTTGAAGGTTCACTGTACTGTAATTGATACTCTAATTGAATATTTACTGTATTATGTTGATGTCATGCAGTATGTCATCATCATTGACTATTAATGGTAGGGGGCTGTTTTCTACCCCCCCTCATAGACTTATCTAACATTGACTTTGGCTGTACAGTAATTATTTATTTCAGACACTTCACAGGGTTTCTATTTTGATACTCTCAAAGCTGATCATTTCCTTTACTTGTACTGTACGGTAGCTATAGTGAGTACCTTTTTATATGAAATAAGAAACATTCTGTAGACTGCATTATTAAGGATACTGTACTGTCACATCTTAGAGCTGAGTCTTGAGTCACTGTGATGACACAGAACCATTAGGTGCCCCTTTTAACACTCTCTTTTTTGAAACAAATCTAAGCTAATTACTGTCTTCATCAACAAGTTTAACTGTGTACCTATTTTGGGGTTACCAGTGGTTACAAATTTGTTTAGACGAGGACTAAAAGTATTTTAATTAAAGTCAATTGTTGAATCTGAAGAAATAATATTAAAATAAACAGATGCTGTAATTTGCCCAGATTCTGCTGAATTGTGCCGGCCAGTCAGCTGTTTTGTAGAGGGCGGGACATTCTTGCCCTAGAACTTTGAATGGATTATACAGAACATTGCTTGATGCTTTTGGCATTTCTGGAGCTATTCAATAGCTTTTACAGCCTTTCCATTCTTCATTTGTCAGTTGGTTTCTTCTGCCCTCCCCCATTTGTTTTCATTCAGTAGCCAATGTTAGTATTTTCTGCAGGCAGCCATGATTCCCTCATTATCAATAACCACATTACTGTACCGTGGTCATTGCTCACCAACAACATTGTTGTTGCTACTGTACCTGGCTTCTCTAATTACCTCTTATTTTGTGTCTGCACTACTCAACATGTCTACAAATGTATCCAGTTTATGCTTTTTAGTCTCATAAACTTCTATTGTGGTCCTGTGCTTGACCTCCAGGTACTCCTTGAAACCACTTATATATCTTCTGGGCCTTAAACAATTGTCTTTTTCCTTTTATCACTCTGTCAACTTCATCATTCACCTCCATGTAAGTGCTTACTTATCTGGGCCCTTCATCTTGTCAGCTGCACTAAACAGAACAACCACTATTTTGGCCCAGCATCTTGCTACACTACCCTTCGCACTCACTGGTTATTTCCTGAGGCTTAATAATGTCCTGACCAAGACTCTTCTGCCACCTCCATCCCTCACACGTTGTTAAAGCTCACTCACTCACTCACAGCAGTTCGTTCAACTGTAACAAAAAGTGAAAGAAAAGATAATTCTGAAAAATTAAGTGATGAACTTTAGAGGCTAAAGACTACTCTACCATACTCATGTTATAAACCTATAGTTACACACTCTTGTGACTCACCCCAAGCATTTACCCCAGCCATACAGACACTATATCAACACTACACACCGACTATTTGGGGCTTTTAATGTTACTTTTGCTTACACTTGTTTATATCATCATGGTCATCATCTTACAGCCATTTTCCACATTGGTGTCAGTTAGCCAGAAGACATAATTTTATAGCTAGCCATCCATCTTATGTGACATGTGTTGTAGTGTAGTTATAAGCCATCTCTTGACATAGATAGCTGGCACAGTAGAGTAGAAGTACCTTACATCTGCACTAGTTTCTACTACAGTATTGCCTGTTTTATATACTGTACCCTCAGAAAAGTAGCTTATTTAAGTCTATGATGTGAACAAACTGTAGCAACCTTAACAGTGTTCACCTTCCAGTACTATATATCAGAGGCGATGTATATTATGAGATAAAACTGTGAGAAATACCGTAGGCAGAGATATATTCTCTCTAGGAGGAGTTTGATCATAACAAGGATTACTACTTGGGATGCTGTCTGCTTTCTTGCTCATAGATGTAAATACAATACTGTACAATACAGCTGTGTGAAGATAAGTAGTTTTATATAAAGAATATGTATGTCCCAAGTTGTTCTGCCTACTCACAAAGAGTTACATAGGATTTAAAAAGGTTGAATAGTATTTTGTTGTTGTTAATGCTACTCTGATAATAACACTATGGCTCAGGTGTAACGTGACTGATGTGACGCTGCGAAGGGGAGATGTCGCCAGCATATGTCTGAGCCAGACACTGTCTTGCTTTACAGGGTCCTGGTAGAGTTTGCCCGAGGCACTAGATCGGCCGTGGACAGCCTGTATTCTGGCTCATATTCTCGCAAGGCTCGAGCTCCGTGGATGGAAAAGTAAGGCTCAGTGTGGGTCTGTCTCTGAGGAACATGGAAAGGGCGTAGCTGAAGATTTACCCGGTCGGGTTAATCTGAAGTTACCCTCTGTCTCTGCCCTTCTATTATGTCTTGTCCCGTTAATCTCCACTGGGCCTTTTATCTCTGTTATCACGGCTTCAATCAATAGACTGCACACAAAAACTAAAAGACTTTCCCGCAATAGGATGCTATCATCAATTTTTTTATTTTTCACTTTATAAATTCCAACTTTATGTAAAGACAATTATTTAGTTAGTCGGGTGTCTGTAAGTTTTGCCTGCAGTCTGTCGATCGTCGGTGTTGCCAGTGACGTAGCAGGGGTTGACTTAATTGTGTTTCAGAGTGATGGTGGAGAAGGCGCGTGCATCCCCCCGGGTGCGATGGCCGCGCGGTGGTGGCGGTGGTGGTGCTGGTCAGCACCAAAACAGACCACAACAACTCAGGTTACATAGGATATTACTCATGTAGTTACTGTACCTATGTTTTAGCTTCTTCATACTTCACAATAGAGATGAGTCACTCAGCAGTACAGTACAAACATCTTAAAGATTAAAAAAATAACTTGTGAAATGAAGCCAAATAAAATAAGGTATCTTTTAGTGTGAAGTATGTATGGATATCCTGGTAAAACATAGCAGCAGGTACTTTATAGTTTACCCTATATATACTGTATACTTGGTGGAGTTTCCCTAACCTAACCTAACTTACTGTACTGTAGATGCTTTTGTTTTACTAATTATGTATTATTAAGAGAATTATTAGTTAGATGCTGCCATTCTTCAGTAAAACATAACAGCAGCAGCAGCACACACACACACACACACACACACACACACCTCACACACACACACACCCCACACACACACACACACCTCACACACACACACACCCCACACACACACACACACCCTCACACACACACACACACCCACACACACACACACCCCACACACACACACACCACACACACACACACACACACACACACACACACCACACACCACACACCCCACACACACACCCCACACACATACACACCCCACACACACACACACACACACCCCCACACACACGCACCACACCACACACACACACACACACACACCACACACACACACACACACACACACACACACACACACACACACACACACAGAAGCCCAAAGTCTTCATCAAGAAACAATATCTTGAAATAATAGTATTTGTATGAGCACATGAATCCTGGCTCAGAATTATCTTTTACTGGTTTAGTTATTGTGAGTGAAACAGTTGACAGCCATGTGAGAGACACAAAAAGTGTAGACACATTATACAGATGGTGTGTACTGTGTGACCCTTAAGTGACATGTTGCACTGTCACACTCTCCAAGTATTGTTCACTCTTGTCATCTCAGGGATCACTTTGTGCTCCACCAGTTGACAGTTTTACCACCTGTCAACATTTCTATTGCAGCAATGTTGTCACATAACTTCCATTTATCTTCTTGTTCTCAGTTGAGTTCATGTTTTACTGTTTTCTTTAAGAGCTAAAATTGTAGTTGTGTTATATAAACTTTCATGTGCTCATGTTTGACCTCCCCGTCCCAGCCAACCTTACCCACACACACTCTCATTTGACTGAGAATGAACACTGATTACTGGTCTACAGTGAACTTGGTACATTAGGAAGCAGAGAAAAGTACATACACTGTACAGGTATTCCCCAAAAACCACCTCCCTAATAACCGCCACTTTACATAACGGACGATTACATATATGGGAAACACCCCTAAGTTTCGTTGATACCCTGGAGGTCTGACGATTTGGAGAGAAGCGGCGGAACGGTTTTAAATTTGGTGGTGCAAATTCTTGCCATGAGAGGGCTCTGCGCACTCTCTCGGACACATTCCTGCCATTGTTGCTCTCATTTACATTCACCATGTGCTTCTGCGTTCGCATTTTTTCGTAATTTCTGACTTTGTGTGTTATCCAGTCATGCCTAAATGCCCCAGTGATAGTTCCTCTTGTGTTGAGCAGCTGGATGTGATGTGATAAGGAGTTATAAGGCATAATAAGTGTGGTGAATGACTAGCAAAGATCATTATAGACTTTAACTTGCCACCCTAGACTGTCATTTACCATCCCCAACACAGGTAAATAAGTCTCAATTTATGCTTATGTAAGGCTTATTATGCTTGCTTTAATTATTTGCTTCACAGTGTTGGCAATAGAGATATATCAAGTAGATGAGGGTTTTTGGAGGGTGGCCGGTCCTTAACCCCTTGAATTTGTTATGTTCTTATGGGATTAATTACTTTGATAACCGTTGACTCACTAACCAACGACTTTTCCCGGTCCCTCTATGCGTTGGTTATTGGGGTGCACCTGTACAGTATACAGTAAAGCATTTGTCAATGTTTGGGACTGAGATAGAGTACTTCTGTTAACTGGATAATATCGAACTTGTTTCCGAGGAAAGCATATACAGTGATCCCTCGGTTAACGAGTTACCTCCCATAAGATTCTTAACTTCGGTTAATGAGCAATCCCTCGATTAACGAGTTTTTTACGAGCCGACCTCAACATGTTTTCGCTTGCATTTGGCGGTCCACCAGTTGTAGTATTAGTCCGCCAATACAGTAATCGGTTCTAGGGCTTAAATTCCTTACTATTTTAGTAAATATCAAGAAGTTTATACTATTCAATAATTTTAAAAGTGTTATATTAAATTTTTTTAGTCATTTTAACAATTATGGAACATAATTGAAGTACTGTATAGGAAGCTAGTTTTTTGCGACATACAGCCTTTCAACACACCACACAGGCATCTGTCTCTCTGTCTTTTCAGTGGAGGTAACATCTTGCTTCAGACTCTCTTCAACTAAATGCTTTTTTCTGTTTTTCCAAGCAAATTATTGGTCAATTTGAAATTCATTGTACATATTGACAGTATATAATGCAGTGCAGTGTTGCTTTAAAGAAAATAATCTTGAATTACACCAAGAGAACTAAAATTTTATGGGTGAATGGTGCCATGGGGTGATTTCTCTTCCACCCAATGCCTTCTTCTCCCTTCTCCTCCACCCCATTCTAATTCCCATCATCATCATCATCCAGGAGCCTTTCATACACACCTCAAAGTAAGTGTACTTTACTACCTTTTTTGTTGTATTTAGGCAATTTTCGGTGAGCTGGAACCAATTACCCAAAACCCCATTGAAACAATGTTTTCGGTTAACGAGCAACCTTCTAGAACGAATTGTGCTCGTTAACTGAGGGACCACTGTACAGTCCCCTTCACTAGTGCGATTACAGGGGCTCGTCAGGTTTTGTGCAGTGTAGCAGCCTTGTGTTTGTTTACATTTGACAGAAGAAAACTCTCAATAGTAAACATACTATAGAACCCCTGTAAATGCACTACTGAATGGGGACTGTACTGTAGTACAGATACACCACCAATTTTCCAGGAACTGATGGTCCGACACCTCCTTTAGTCCAGTCAAAACAATGAGGGGGCACTTAACTTCCCTCCCTCCCTCCCAGCTAGGTGAAGGTAGTTTTAGGCTTAAAGTTTTTATCTTATAAAATGTTTGACTAAAATTAGCAGAATATAACTTGCATTGCTGGAATCCCTGTAAGATAGTGATTAATTTGAGTATAAACATCACATAGTTTGCACAAGAGATAAGTTTTTTAGTCCTTTAGTGTAGTATATTGCAGTACAAAGTGTGTACAGTAATATGTTACTCAAAATTATGGCTTTTTCACATTTAATTTACATTTAATATTTGTTTAATTTAAGTTTCTATCAGTCCATGGTGCTTTAGAGACACAGGAGGTGTATAATTAGTGGCTCAGAGGTGAACTGTTGAATTATTATTACCTGACCTCGGTTGGTCCGGCAAAACGGATAATCTGGCAAGGTGCCGGAAAATCGGTGGTGGACCTGTACCATAGTACTGTACTTGTGTAAATTTGGTTATACAGTTATCATTATTACAGCAAGTCTCAGCTTAACGTTGGGGTTACATTCCTAAAAATGCGATGTTATACGAAACAACGTTAAGAGGATAAATTTTCCCCAAAAGAAATAGATAAAATATCGGAGTTACGTTCCCCAGCCTCCCTTTGCCCCATGAAATACATTACATATACAGAAAATCGTTGCCATTTCTATAGAAAATAATGCATACATATACAACTACTAAGTTAGTATTGGTACTGATGTGGAGGTGGTAGAGTGAGTGTGTGGTGGGTACTGAGCGAAGCAGGGGTATGGCAGGAGAGGAGGAGGAAGGTGGGAGCGGAGGAGGGTGGTGAGTCACTGAGACTGCGGCTACCTCCTCCTCCTGCTCTGACGGGTTCCTCCGCCGCTGCTTACTCCTCCTCTGTTGATGTTTGCTCCTCCTTGGCTACCGACTGTTGTGAAGAAGCTGCTTGTGCTATCCCACAACGATAAAATTAATCCAGTGTTGACTGCTTGGTGCTACTCTTCTTCTCCATATACATCTCAGTGTAACACCCAAGACTGTCATCAAGGCTGCGTTGAACCTTTGAGCTACGTTCTCCGTTTGGGTCGTCATCTACAAGGATTTGTATTGCTTGCTGGAACATGCTTTCTGCCATCGTCTTGGAAGTTAGCGTTCATTGAGGTTCTTCGTCGTCGTCTTCAACGGGACTGTGTTCTGTTAGTTGTTGCAGATCTTCGTTGGTGAGTTCTTCTGTATGGGATGCCAGGACGTCCTCAATAGCCTCTGATTCCAGCTCCTCAAAGCCTGCCTGTCTAGCCAAACTGAGGATATCCCTATTCACAGCTGAGACTAAGTCCGTGAATCCCCAGAAACTGTTGGAGACTCACAGTTTACACCACACACCATTCAGGCAACTTTCTGAATCCTCCTCCCATGCCTTGCCAATGTTGTCAATTGCATGAAGAATGTTGGCTTCTCGATCGTTGTTTATTTTTCCTAGCCTTTGAGCAGCTGGGCCATGGTACAGCATAAAATACACCTGATGCAGCCTTGGTCCATAGGCTGCATCAGTGCATAGGTGTTGGGAGGCAGGAATCAACTTTTACACTGTCATGCAAGTCGTCGAGACTGGGATGATGAGCTGGAGCATTGTCAACGATCAGTCAAGGTTCTCCTTGGCACAGTAATCCTTCAGTGCAGGGACGGCGTACACAGTTAACCACTGGCTAAATATGGCTCCGGTTATCCATGCCTTCTTATTTGCCTTGTAGATAACAGGAAGGTTATCCTTAGAGTAACCTTTCAGGGCCCGTGGGTTGGCAGCGCGAGAAATCAGCATAGGCTTCAGCTTGAAGTTATCGGCAGCGTCAGCACCAAGCAGCAGCCTTAAGCGTCTTTGCCGCTTAAACTCTTTTCTCATTGGAGATATAGGTCTTCAGGCATCCTCTTCAAAGAGACCAGTCTCATCCACATTGGAGACTGGCTTCTCGTGAGTACTTGCTGGATGATCTTTTGAATTCAGGCGGGAATGTCTCGGCAGCAACCGTGATCTGAACTGGCAGCTTCACCAGTCATCTTAATATTGTGGAAGTCATACCGCGCTTAAGGTTACCAGCCTCGCTGGTAAAGCGTTCTTCCTTCGATCCTTCACCTTCTTCCTTGTCGTCAAACAGGATCTGGCCTTATGCTGCTGGATAACCATAAGGCTCACAGGGCATTGCTTTGATTCTGGTCCTCCATCCACATTGAACATCTTTTCACCTTCTCTATCACAGTGCTTCTAGAATGAGTCATCTTAGTAGCACTCAGAGAAGAACCACTTCCAGCACTAACCTTAATCTTGTCAGCTTGGTCAGGATAGCACGCACTGCTAGGGGTTAGACCAAGCACAGCGGCTCAGTCCACAGCATGTCTTTTTTCAAATTGGGTTAATACATCCATTTCAGCAAGGGTAATGGTATTACGCTGTCTTCACTACACTAGCATCAGTAGCACTTGATGGGCACTTGGAAGCCATTTGAATGGTTAGAGTACAGTTTTAGAGCAAAAGCACTTACACATACTGAATAATATGAAGTCGTAAGAGACGACTTTGGCGCCGCGAGACGCCTGACGTTCATCGAAGGGCAGCGCACGAGCCCCGAGAGAGCGAGCGGGCCAGACAAGAATGGGTGATGTGTCATAGAAAGTAGTCCGTGACGACGAAAACGAGTATCAGATCCCCGAACTTTAAAAAAATTGGGTCTCAGTTCTGTTGACAGCAATTAAAAACAACGCGTTTAGGACTTACTGTACTACAGGTACTGCACTGCACTGCACTGTGCTCTACTGTGCTGTACTGCACTGCACTAATCTGTACTGTACTACAGAACAATATTTGGTAATGAAAAAAAATTCTCATTGGTTTTATACCGAAGTGGCTGCTCACCATTTACAGTATTTTGGTATATGGAGAAGTACTGTAATACTGTACAGTATCTTGCTCACTGCTGCGGGCCAAAGTGTACTGTACTGTACTGTACTGTATGTCTTAGTTGGTGAAAGGAAACTTATTTAACTTTCAACACCTCAAAGATGTTTCTCTAATTTAAAATATATACCAATTCAGAGGACACAACTTTACATTATTAAGTGATAAATGTAAGAAGCTTTTCTCCCTCAGTAGCACTTGTAGGGAAACCTTGAGGTAAGTGTTTGGTTGTGTGCCAGAGTACAGTGGAGGAAGACCTTACAGTCATTCTTTTGTGGTACAGTACTGTACTTAATGGGGGAGCATTATACAGTACAGGTTCATTTATCACAGCACTTGCCATCCCCTTAGCCTGTGTTAGGTCTCAAAGATCACCCATGGCACTTCATCACATTGGTGGAGGATTTTAGAGCAAAATCCTTTTTTATGGACTGAGGAGGTGTCCTTGATGCCTTCCTTCCCTCCCCTACTCTGAGCATTGTCTTAAATTAACAGGTAACTGTAGCCTTGAGGTAGGATCTTACATCTGGTTGTGTAGGCTTCAACCAGAGACAACTTTTGGGTTTAGGGGTGGGTTGTTGAGCCGTACAACTGAGATGGCACTGCCCAGGAGGTGCATTGCAGTGCTGTGTTTTACAGGTCACTCACTCACTCATATTTAGCCAGAAAACAGCTTTATACCTCTTCCTCATTTTTTGTGTTAGTTTATATTGTTATATTTCACTGTAATACACTGTTAAAAGAATTTATATATATATATATATATATATATATATATATATATATATATATATATATATATATATATATGTAGCCAGATATCTAGTGATTAATGTGTAGCTCTTTTGTAACTTGTTACTCAATGACAGCCTGTGTTAAGTGCAGCCAGTCATCCCTGTGACAGTGGCTCACTTGACACAGGCTCATACCAAACCACATTTCTGTTGGAAGCTGCAGTAGGTCAGGATGTTCAATATTACTCTTCAAGGTTTCTAAACCCTAGGTTAAAGTTCAACCATATTCTCAAAGATTGCAGCACAGTCATTGTTTGACTGTACAAGCTATGACCACCACTGTTTTCACTTGCTAAACCACCGGCCATAATCAAGTTGTTAGTGGATCAACTTCAGCTTGCCTCCCACACATGACACTCCCTGTACACTATACTGTACAGGAGATAATTTATGCATGATCACTACAGTTTCTATTCTGTCATTATAACAAAACATCACTGTTACATTCTCCTTGGATAGAGGAAAGCCTTTATTTATTTGCTTTTAGACCCAAAAGTCAAGATCAATTTATAAAAAATATAAAATTCCTTTTGCACAATAATTCCAGTTCTTTGCTGCACACTATCTGGTTTGTAGGCGAATTACCTGTGGTATTTATGGAAGGGGTCAATGACTTGTAGAAAGAGAGAGAATTATTTGCTCCTGGTAACTCAACATTTATCTACTGTTAAAACTAAACTTGTTAAGTGGGTCATCTGTACCTACAGGAGGCAGTGTTTATAGTGTAAAAGTCACCAGCCAAGGTTTTTGTGTTATAGTGTGTTGTCTCTTGTCCACTCCCACATGAACTGTAGAGCAGATCATGGCCAACAGATTACCAAGGAAGGGGATGATCCTCAACCTGTATATTAAGTTTACAAGGTTAATTATTTATCTCCAGTAAAACTCTTAAGAAATACATTGTGCATGTTGGGTTGAATCAGCCATTCACACTACCAGTCCAGTACCACATATGGAAGCACTCTACTCTATGCAGTTCTTAATCATCCCTCACTCATTATCTAATGTGACACTTGTAGACCTCATTGATCAGTTGTACCAAACCTCATTACAGTTGAAGGCCTCCCTGTCAAGGACTCATCCAGGCTTACTGCCCATTTCCAAGACAACCGAGGACCACCATTCATAAACCACATCTACCTCCTTGCTTCCTCCAGGCACCCCTGACCCACCAGTTGTTACTACTCCCCTCACTGTGCCCCAAACTACCACTGTACAGTCATACCCTTCCTTCTCTTCATGGTGTATTCCAGTCTTTGTGACGTAAAATGGGAAACAAACAAAATACCAAATGTTCCAAGATAAACTCACCAATTACAAATCTTTAACTGATCTTGGTTTACACCATTAACTGACCTTTAGCATACAGTCCTTTCATCCCACAGCTGTAGAAGTTGCTCACATTAACAAAACAATGGTTACTCCCAGCCAACTCCTCCCTCATGACATTAATAATTACAACACTCGGCTTCACAAACCTAAAGTAAATAAATGAATTAAATTTTGAACTTTAACTAAACAAACCCATTTTCACCTGTCAAAGAGTTGATCCATCACAAACTCAATGCCCATCTCAAGCAACAGTCCTGGATAACACTTACATCTAAAATTAGTAAACCCTCAATGGAATTTTCTCCTGTTCCCAGCTACATAATAATACCGTTACTTCACGTAGAGTATGAGAAAATTATCATCTTCCTCATATTAAGACTAAAGAAATAAGTAAGTGACCAAATCCTCCTCCTGTAGGTCTGTGTTACACCCCGGAGGATCCTGGAAAGAGTACTGTACAGTAATCATCAACTCCATCCCATAACCTCCCTCACAACAGCCATCCCTCACCTCTCATCACTAACTCTCTACAATCTTGTTGGCTTCAACCCCAGACTCCTCCATCTATTACTTATGTTTACAATATAGTAATGGTTTATCACATAAACCTTTCACACCATCCCATACCACAATCTAATTAACAAAATACGTGATTAACAAATATTAGCACATAGATACTTACAGATATGGTTAACACACTTGGTCTTGTGTTGCCAACCATGGGTCAGACACATGAACACGACCCCTCAAAGCCTGTTTACATATTCACTCTCTAAATCTGTAAGTGCACTATGCTTTCTGGATTTTTTTAAGACTCGTTACCATATGTCCAAGTGCAAATATTCTACCTGATCTGTAGTGTAATGTATTTCCATTTCCTGGAGTAGGGTCACACAGTAGTTCTTATGGTTCAAGAATAATGATCAGGTTCAGACAAGATGTTGTCAAGTCTCCTGATGTACAGCTGCTGTCAACACTTATGTGCTCCATTCCCAGCTTGTTTGGTTTACCCACACAATGAGGAGTTTAGTTATATCCACATTTCTAGTTTTTGAACTGATACAGGAGACCACCTTAGGAGTCAACACGGCAACTATCAGTTTTTCTTTCTGCCGCCATAAGTGACTTAACTTCCCGGAGACACTTTTCTTTGGCTACTTACTGTGTGTATATATTAGGAGATATCTGAATAATTAGAACTATCACTATTTTACTGTATTCATGAATTTCAATTGTTTCTACTTACCTGTATATACACAAACCAAATTTTCGCATTATATCAATCTGTAAATGAATTATCCTCGACAGGTATGGACTGCCAACACGAACCGACTACCGCCTGATAGTGGAGAACCTGTCAAGCCGAGTGTCGTAAGGTTAGTGGAGAGCCAGAGTGTGACCTTCAACAAGCCTAACATACATACCCTCTGTGAATCTCTTTATTGTTTGTCTATGTTGGGGATGACTGCATTGCCATACACTGCACCATGTCTCGGTATCTCACACCTTCTGACCATTTTCACTTGTGTTTGACTTCATAGTGTACAGTACAGGGACTATACCATATGCAGAAATAGAAAAGGAGGAGATGTACTGTTTTATTTTGTAATCCTTTAAATTGATACAAGGTGATGGATAACTGTATATCTCATGATGCGTGGTGCAGTGTCGTGTGAGTAGGGCCAGTTTGTGGAATTGTGCCATCATTGGGTCACGTTTTTTCTGTAGGTTTGTTGCTTCATCTGCTCTTCTTAAGTGACTGGCTGCAAACTTTAGGGAAATGTGGTATTTTTTTATGCTGACCATCACAAGTTTTGGTTTACAAGTTGGAGGATGTATACATAGTTTAAATACAGTATGGTCTTAAGAGTGATGTATTGCTGGATATTCAGTACAAGTCGTATACATTTTTTTTTTATGTAACAGCCAGAAATTTTTTATTTATTTATTTAATTATTTTTTTTTTTTTGTATATATAAAATTTTGTTTTTAAAAGAATTGATATATGATTGAGATTTGAAATTGATTATCAAAATTTTTGCTTTTCTGTCATTTAGCATTAACTGATTACAGTATATGGCTTTTGGGGTGATGTATTAAAGAAAAAAATATGAGACCTAAAACTCACATGGATTTTGTCGTTATTACAGGCATTTGTTGCGTGATATCCTGATTGTTCTACATTACTTACTGTGGGAAGAAGAGAAGCTCTTTCTCATGTTGACGCATGTACAGTATTTGTCTAAGGCTTGAGTCTCGTGCCTGTTATCCTCGGTCAAATATGCCAACATGGAGTCTCTCTTTGTGGACATTTGCTCTTTGACTTTTGATATTGTTAGGATAATACCATTGGAACCTTACAGACAGATGAGTGTTTAACCCTGCTCACTTTATCCAGGCAAACCTCATCTAGGCTGTTTATTATACACACATACACACACATAGTCTCTGTTAATGCCTGTATATATTATTCTCACATAGTAGAGGTGATACACAGAAGCTTTAATTACACTTCATCAATCAAGGGTTTCTGTGCTTTAGATGTTAAAGTGTGTACAGTAAATGCCTTTATTTTTTTTACTGTTGATGTTATACAGTATTCCAGTTAGGTGTTGTAATGATACACAGTACATCTCAAGTCACCATCTCATCTTCTCTCATTGTACATATCATTATACTATAACCACTCACACCTGCATCATTTGGACCATGTTTAATCACTGAACTTTATTCCCTAACACTATCCACTTTTTTTTATCTACCTACTGTACTGTGTTTGAATCTGTGCACTTATGGGTGATGACCTTCCTCTACAGTAGAGTACAGTACACTGCCTCCTAAGCTCCTCCTTAATATTTATCTATCCATTTTGTGATCCATTTCTGTGGTTCACTCTTGGTCTGTTTGTCAAGACAGCCAACTCTGTCATTTCACTTCACCTGCACTTAATACTCTTGGCTTATGGTTTGGATCCTTTCCTGTTTCTACCTTTTATGAATACATACATCTTTTCATGCTTGTTGTGTAGTGTGAGGTTACTCTTGATTGTCACATCCATATGTTAGCACTGGTACAGTACAGTATGTATTGACCGAATACATTCTTTAACCACTTGTGTACGGGGTCCCCTCTCTGCTGAATAAGATCGTCTGGCGTTAACCAAGGAGAATATTAAATGTGTCCCGTAGTGAAGGGGTTAAAGGGTGTGTTAATTATGAATATATGACTTAAGCAATACAGTAACAACTCAGCATGCCTCTTTTGACACACACACACGTGCACAGTGAAAATCTTCATCTCAATTGGATAACTGGTGAGCTTCTGTCTGGTTAAGGGAGAATTCCATTTATTCAAGTATATTGATATTACTAAACCAAACAAAAGTCTTGTTAAACCTGATATCTTTTAAATTACTGTACAGTACTTGGCCACTTGTCTGGATGATAATTACACATCTGTCAAAGTATTAACCCCAAAAACTGAGGAAAATGTAGGCAAAATGTGTACTGAAAGATAAGTGATGGAGAAGAACAAGAGATGGTGTACATTAACCCCTTCTACTGGCAAGTGTTTTTACATCTCTTGTATGGTTAAAATGAATCAGAAGATGCTGTAGTGTACTGTACTCACTACTAGCGATTGTAATGTTTCAGTACAGATTCAAGAGTTTAGACAGCATCACACACACACCAGCATCAGGTTGGTACAGAACATTATATCAGGCCTGTCTTCATAACTCAACCACTTGTTCTTCTCTCACTTTACCTCCCTACACTTTAGGTTTGGTTTTATAGTTATTTCAGGCACAGAATATAGAGAGAGATAGGTTAAAATTACTGTTGTGTAAGTTTATAAGACAACAACAGCAGAGAGACTGATGGAACACAATGAGAGGAGAGAAATGCCTTAGGTCCCTTATTGGCTCAGCAGCACCAGCACCCCCTGTAAACAGACATAAGGGAGGGGAAAACTGGCAAAGCTCAGACTGTTAGTAAAGACTGCTGGTTAAGGGATACTTTTACAGCACCTTATTGAGTCTGTCACACAACACTACACTGCACACATTAGGAACACTGTCTTCTTCTTAGTAAGATATTAACTGGACTTTTTATTTGGTGTCATTCATATTACTAAGCAATATTCATTTTTTTTTAATTTGCTACTCTCGCCTTATCCAACAATGAGTCTCACCACAAAAAATATTTATAATTGAAGGTGATTTTTTCTCGCTTTATATATTTTCAAATACCTGTAGAGTAAACCCCCACAAAGTCAATTTTAAGTACTGTATAAGAATTTGGTTTGTTATCTGCTATTTTGTGGCAGTTGAACTTATATTTATAATTGTGGAGAGTTTTAACCCATTGCACAAAATAATGGTTGGCTCGCATAAGTTGTGTGTGATGGCCGGGACTGAGTCATTTGTGTGTGTTTGTTCCTAGATGTGATGTGATGTTTCTTCTTCACCTCAAGTTGTTCTCTTTGTTTGTCTCACCATAGTGCTCCATGATAGTGGCTTCTAGTGGCGGGTGTGTGGCAAGGTTCTACCAGGAGGCATATCATAAACACTGAAAATGATACGCGGTTGTGTATGTGTGCGTGGTAAACCTTCAACGCTGATTCTGCTATAGTGTTGTGTTGGATTTTATTTTGTTTATATCATTATCTTCCCTTCAGCTGTTGTAGAGTGAAAGTTATTGTCCCTCATAATCTACACATCCCTCCTCCCCTGCCCCCATAATTCATACACCTCTCTTCCTCCTGCTCCCCATAACTCACACACCCCTCCTCCCCTGCCCCCATAATCCACACACCTCCTCCTCACCCCTGCCCCCATAATTCACACACCCCCTCCTCACCCTGCCCCCATAATCCACACACCCTCCTCCTCACCCTGCCCCATAATTCACACACCTCCTCCTCACCCTGCCCCCATAATTCACACTCTTCCTGCCCCCATAACTCACACACCTCCCTCCTCACCCCTGCCCCCATAATTCACACACCCTCCCTCCTCACCCTGCCCCCATAATTCACACCCCCTCTTCCCCTGCCCCCATAATTCCACACCCCTCCCTCCTCACCCTGCCCCCATAACTCACACACCTCCCTCCTCCCCTGCCTCCATAACTCACACACCCTCCTCCTCCCCCTGCCCTCTCATGCCCCATAATTCACACCTCTTCCCCCCCTGCCCCATAATTCACACACCTCCCTCCTCCCCTGCCCTCCATAACTCACACACCTCCCTCCTCCCCTGCCCTCCATAATTCACACACCTCCCTCCTCACCCCTGCCCCCCATAATTCACACCCCTCTTCCCCCTGCCCCCCATCCACACACCTCCCCCTCCCCCCCTGCCCTCCATAATCCACACACCCTCCACCCCCTGTCCCCCCATATCCACACACCCCTCCCCCTCCTTCCTCTGCCCCCCATATTTCCACACACCCCTCCCTCCTCATGCCCCCATAATTCACACACCTCCCTCCTGCCCCAATTCACACCTCTCCTGCCCCCCATAATTCACACACCCCTCCCTCCTCCTGCCCCCCATAATCCACACACCCCTCCCTCCTCCCCCTGCCCCATATTTCACACACCCTCCCTCCTCCCCTGCCCCCATAATCTCACATACTCCTCCCCTTGCCTCCCATAATCCACCCCCTTCTCCCCCCCTGCCTCCTATAATCTCACACACACCCCCTCCCCCTCCTCCCCTGCCCCCCCATAATTCACACACCCTCCCCCTGCCCCCATAATTCACCCTCCCCCTTGCCTCCTATAATTCACTCCTCCCCTGCCCCCCTAATAACACACACCCCTCCCTGCCCCCCATAATTCACACACCCCTCCCTCCCTCCCCCTGCCCCCATAATTCACACACACCCCTTCACCCCTGCCCCCATAATTCACACACCCTCCCCCCCCCCCATAATTCACACACCCCTCCCTCCTCCCCCCCATAATTCACACACCCCTCTCCCTCCCCCATAATTCACACACCCCTCCCCTGCCCCATAATTCACCTCTCCTCCCCCCTGCCTCCTATAATTCACCCTTCCCCTGCCTCCCCATAATTCACACCCCCCTGCCCCCCATAATTAACACACCCCTCCCTCCCTGCCCCCATAATTCACACACCTCACCCCCTGCCCCCCATAATTCACACACCCTCCCTCCTCCCCCCCCCATAATCCACACCCTCCGCCTCATGCTGCCCCCATAATTCACCCCTCCTCCCCACCTGCCCCCACACCCACACCCCTCCTCCCTCCCCCCATAATTCACACACCCCCTCCTTCCCCTCCCCCCATAATCACACGCCCCTCCCCCCAATTCACACACCCTTCTCCTCCTCCCCCACACTCACACACACCTCCCCTGCCCCCATAATTCACCCTCCTCCCACCTGCCCTCCATATTCACCCCCCATAATCCATACACCCTCCTCCTGCTCCATACACCACCCCCTCCTCCTCTGCTCCCATAATTCACACACCTCACCCACACTCTTCTCCACCCACCACACCTCCTCTTCTCCAGCTGCCTGGGGCCCCTAGCCTGATGCCTCCTTCAGGAATTTAGTTCAAAATTTCTGAGGATGGCTGAGTGTGAATTTTTCAAATTGTCTGGCGAGTTAGATTCCCTTATAATGAAAATTTGAACCTTAAAGCCAAGACACCCTGTAGGTCAAAGAGCATTTTATTGGCCTTTTAGAAGCAACAGAGACAACTGGTCTAGGATTGGCAGACTTTATTCTGGAGAAACTCAAATACTTGAACATAACATGTGCTGATTGTAGGGGGGTCAATCCTATGATAATGGATCAATCCTGAATGGGAAAAACAAAGGAGTGTAAGCACAGCTTTTGGCTATAAATCCCTGTGCACTCTTTGTGCCTTGTGGTGCACATACCCTGAACTTGGTGGTGGCTGAGGCAGCTAAAAGCTTCCAAGATGCATTAAGGTACTTTGGAATTCTTCAGAAACTGTTTACTATGTTTTCAGCTGCAACACAGCGATGGGCAATAATGAAGAACAGGGTAGACATCTCAATGAAATCATGGTCAGATACAAGGTGGGAAAGCCAGATCAAAGCTATAGAGGCTGTGTGTTATCAAACTAAACAAATAAGGGAGGCCCTGTCATATGAGGAACAAAGTCACATACCCTGTGACAAGGATAGAGGCCCAGTCACTGGCGGAGGAAGTTGGGTCTTACTGTTTTTGATACGCACGCGGGTATGGTATGACATTCTGCAACAAATACAAGTGAACAAACTCTTGTAGTCTACTACCATGCAGCTTGATGTGTCTATGAGCTTACTCAAGAACACTAAAGCCTCCCTGGTGAGCTACTGTGAGAATGGATTTGTCTCGGCACAAGCATCGGCTAAGGACATGTAGTAGGAAATGAATGTGGAGGCTGTGTTAAAGGTAAAGAGACTTTGAATGATGAAGACACAGTTTGGATATGAAGCTGCAGATGAGCCAATTTCTGATGTTTTGAGAAAATTAGAAGTGTCTCTTTTCTATACGGTGGTAGACTCTGTCACCACATCACTCAATGAAATGTTCCAAAACCTGGGAGAAGTTAGGACAAATTTGGAGTTCAATTTCACTTCAAAAAGTCGTCCATTGATTCATTCACAACACAATGTCAGGAGCTGAGTGACACCCTGGGCTATGGTGGAGAGTCAGATATTGATGGAAAAGAACTGGCCTTTGAGATGAGAAATCTACCAGACTTACCCTCTGATAATACATTGGAACTTCTTAAATATATGCATGAAAGGCAGATTAAAGAGATTTATCTTAGCATGTGGACAGCCCTGAGGATAGCAGCCATTCTGCCTATGACTGTAGCTTCAGCAGAGAGGAGCTTCTCAAAGCTTAAGCTTATCAAAACATACCTAAGGTCTATGATGGCTCAGGATAGACTTACTGGGCTTGCTGTCATTAGCATAAATAATGCTGTTGAGAAACAAGTGTCATATGATGACATTATAGGCCATTTTACTTCAAAAGTCAGGAAGTAAAAATTTAGATTCTAGATTTTAGATGAATTAATGATATGTAAATTACCGAAGTAATAAATTGCAGCATCAACAAATTGTTATTACTGATTTGCGTTCCTTCTGAGAGAGGCGGGAGGGGTGGGATGGGGAATTTTTCCATGAGAGAGGGGGAACAAATCATGTCTTGCCTAGGGCTCCTAAAAGCCTAGGGCTGGCTCAGCCCATAATTCACACACCTCCCTCCTGCCCCCCATAATTCACACACCCCTCCTCCCCTTCCCCATAATTACACACCCTCCCTCCTGCCCCCATAATTCACACCCCTCCTCCCCCCCCCTTCACACACCCCTCCCTCCTGCCCCCATCACACCCTCCCTCCCCCCTCCCCCATAATTCACACACCCCTCCTCCTGCTCCCCATAACCACACACCCTCCTCCCCCCCCCTTCACACCCCTCCCTCCTGCCCCCTAATTCCACACCCCTCCCCCTTCCCCCATAATTCACACACCCCTCCCCTCCTCCCCGCCCCTACCCCTCCCCCTCCCCTGCCCCCTTCCCCCTCCCCTCTCCTCCCCTCCCCTACTCCTCTCCCCTCCCTGCCCTCCTGCCCCCCCACTATTCACCTCCCCCGCCCCCATAATTCACACTCCCCCGCCCCCCATAATTCCACACTCCCCCGCCCCCATAATTCACACTCCCCGCCCCCATAATTCCACACTCCCCCGCCCCCATAATTCACACTCCCCCGCCCCCCATAATTCACACTCCCCCGCCCCCATAATTCCTCCCCCCCCCCCCATAATTCCTCCCCCCCGCCCCCATAATTCACCTCCCCCGCCCCATAATTCACCTCCCCGCCCCCATAATTCACCTCCCCCCGCCCCCATAATTCACCTCCCCCCCCCAAATTCACCTCCCCCCCCCCATAATTCACCCCCCCGCCCCCCCATAATTCACACTCCCCCCGCCCCATAATTCACCTCCCCCGCCCCCATAATTCACACTCCCCCCCCCATAATTCCCTCCCCCGCCCCCATAATCCCCCCCCCCCTCCCCCCCCCATAATTCACCTCCCCCCCCTAATTCCTCCCCCGCCCCCATAATTCACACTCCCCCGCCCCCATAATTCACACTCCCCGCCCCCATAATTCACACTCCCCGCCCCCATAATTCCACCTCCCCCACGCCCCCCCATAATTCACACTCCCCCGCCCCCATAATTCACACACCCTTTGCCCCTCAATGCAGACAGCCATCCATCCTTCACCCCCCAGTTAGTCTGAAACTGCTAGGGCTTACTTCAGTTGGTAATATAACCGGGTCATATATTGTAGAGCCATAAATGATTCCTGTTGCAGGTGGTGCTATAAACAGGAACCACAATGCAGGAGTAAAGTGTGATCATTGTGAAGAATGTGATGACACGTTATATACCCTGTTTATTACTCCTCGTACTGTGATCATTTACCTGCTCTTGAATAACACATTGACCTTATGTTAATTGTCTTCCTTGTAAGGTTGTTTGTTATTATCTTTAACCTTTTACATGTTCACGGTACTGTACTGTGCCCTACTGTGTACCGTGCTGTACTGTACCATACTGTACCTACTGTACTGTACCATACTGTACTGTACTGTACTGTACCATACTGTACTGTACCATACTGTACCTGTACCATACTGTACTGTACCATACTGTACTGTACCATACTGTACTGTACCATACTGTGCCTGTATATGCCTGTACTGTACCATACTGTACTGTACCATACTGTACTGTGCCATGCTGTGTACCACTTACTGCTATGCTGTGCCTGTGCTGTGCCATACTGTACTGTACCTTACTGTGCCATACTGTGCCTGTACCATGCTGTGCTGCCATGCTGTACCATGCTGTGCTGTACCATACTGTGCTGTGCCTTGCACCATATGCTGTGCTGTGCTGTGCCATGCTGTACTGTGCCTTGCTGTACCATACTGTACTGTGCCATGTGCTGTGCCATGCTGTGCTGTGCCCTACTGTGTGTGCTGTACCATACTGTGCACTGTGCCCTACTGTGTGTGCTGTACCATACTGTGCTGTATGCCATACTGTGCTGTGCCCTACTGTGCCTACTGTGCTGTGCCATGCCTGTACTGTGCCATGCTGTGCACCATGCCTACTGTGCTGTACCCTGCTGTGCCCATGCCCTACTGTGCTGTACCATACTGTGCTGTACCATACTGTACTGTCATACTTTACTGTGCTGTACTGTGCCATACTGTGCTGTACCATGCTGTGCTGTACAGTGCCATACTGTGCTGTACTGCACCATACTGTGCTGTACTGCACCATACTGTGCTGTACTGTGCCATCCTGTACTGTGCCATGCTACTGTGCTGTGCTGTACCATACTATGCTGTCACCATGCTGTGCTGTACAGTACCATACTGTACTGTGCTGCACCATACTGTGCTGTGCTGCCATACTGTGCTGTGCCACCATACTGTGCCATACTGTACTGTGCCATGCTGTACTGTGCCCTACTGTGCCATGCTGTGCTGTGCCCTACTGTACTGTGCCCTACTGTACCATACTGTGCTGTACCCTGCTGTACCATACTGTACTGTACCCTACTGTGCCATACTGTACAGTATGGTACAGTACAATTACAGTATGGCTGTACAGTATTCCTGATGTGGTACTGATGCAACTAGTAATATGGTACATTTGCATACAAATCAGTACAGTATGTTACAATCTGATACAGTACAGTATGGTACAATCAGCACAGTACAACACAGTACAGTATGGTACAGGTTGACACAGTACAATTATGTTCTGGTACAGTATGGTACAGTATAGTACAGTATGGTACAGTACAGTATGGTACAGTACAGCACAGTACAGTATGGTACAGTACAGCACAGTACAATATGGTACAGTACAGTATGGTACAGTTCAGTATGGTACAGTACAGTATGGTACAGTACAGCACAGTATGGTACAGTACAGTATGGTACAGTACAGCACAGTATGGTACAGTATGGTACAGTACAGCACAGTATGGTACAGTACAGCACAGTATGGTACAGTACAGTATGGTACAGTACAGTACAGTATGGTACAGTACAGTATGGTACAGTACAGCACAGTAAAGTATGGTACAGTACAGGATGGTACAGTACAGTACAGTATGGTGCAGTACAGCACAGTATGGTACAGTACAGTACAGTATGGTGCAGTACAGTACAGTACAGTATGGTACAGTGCAGTATGGTACAGTACAGTACAGTGCAGTATGGTACAGTACAGTACAGCACAGTATGGTGCAGTACAGTACAGTATGGTACAGTACAGTACATGAAATGTTTGGTCTTATTTTAATTTATTTTTTTTAAGAAGACAAAGTCATAACTTTTCGATATCTGTTATTAATATTTTTTAACAACGACCCGTGACGGTAGGAGACAGATATGAGGAATAAATGAAAATGAAGTATTTATGGAATAATTTTATGCTGTACAAATTAGCCAATATTATACCAGATGTCAGAAGACTCTTAAAAGGCATCGCTCTGGCATCAGATGCAAAATAACTCTCTCTATAACTCATAAGAATAATTATTTTATTTTACACTTAGTTTGAGATCAAATATTCATCAAAACATACTTTGTCATGATCTTTGTTTTCAGTTAAAACAAAGAAAATTGTACCTTCAATCACTTTGTTTGTGACTTGATGTAAGAGACATACAGTACAGTAAGCCCTCCAGCATGTGAGGGGAATCCATGTTGGAGGACCTTAATATTTAATGAGCTTATTGGAAATTGAGAACGCCATCACAAATTCTCATTGGCTGACTCACAGACGTGTGGCCACCGTCGCGCCGTGCTGGCTGTGTCTCTGCCGTGATGTCACATCGAGAGGGAGTGGCAGTCACACAGTTACATTAAGCCAAAACCCACCGCCTCAACACATACAGTACACGCTCATGTTCTTTATTTTTCTTACTTTTTAGTTTTATATTATACTTTATTTCTGAGCCACATTAGAGTACAGTATTGTAATGATTTTTCCACAACTTTTATGGTTTCATTACAAGTAACACTATACGAGGCTGTTGAGTCTGTCACTTGGCTATAACCGCTCCCACGCGCTCACTTCTCACACGTGCACACCCTTGCTCATCATTTTTATTGTTTTGCATTACATCTTATTGATTTTAAACTACATTAGAGTATTGTGATTATTTTTCCACAATGTTTATGGTTTCATTGCTAGTTAACAACATACGAGGTGGGTAGACTACCGCTGCTGCACCCTTGCCACTGTGTTACTTATAAAAAAAATAATAAATTTCTCTACTAATATCATCACTTTACAGCTCTTCTCTACTCCAGCATCACTTGGAGATAAGCTTCCAAGACAACACAAGTCACCCAACCTGTCATGACAGGTTCATATCAAAATTTACCTTGGGAATTAGGCAGTGGCAACACCTGGCAAATTATTCAGAATTTTGAATTAATAGCTAAATGCCAAGTTAATGAGGGTTGAGTTTATATGTACATAGAGTACAACAAATCCTGTTTACACGGAGGTTAGATTTCTGGAGAAAAAAGTGGATATGCATAATAAATACCTTGGGTGTCTGGGCTGGGTGTCATGACTGACCACAAGAAAGGTAAATCAGTATAGATGTAGCCCATTATAGATGAATGTCCCCCATCACTTTAGTTTTCTTCTAAAGATACCTTTCTCTGTACTTTCATAACATTATACAAGAAATAACCTTTCCATCGCTACTATACATGGCACTCTAAAAATAAGAACAAAAAAAAATAGTAATGTTTAACTCTTATTTTAATTTTACACATACAGTACTACCGAACTGTACTGATGTGGGAGGCCTGGTGGGGCCAGGGAGCAGGTGTTCATACAGTGAAAGCATGTGTGAGGTTGTGAAGGAGCAGCCAGGGTATACAAGGAGTGAACAATACAAACTCTGGCAAGAAAAACCATAAATTTGGTGATGATTTATTGAGAGGTGGGGGCTGTTCTTCTCAGCCTTGCATCAACTGACACATCTCTGAGCATCAAGAAGTCATCATTGGTTTTAGCTCAGCTGAAGTAATTCACATATGCAATTTAAATTGCTTTTGTACGATAACATTGTGGAAAAAAACAAGTTGCAATAATCAAATAATTTGGTCATACAAATTGAACTGGTAAAAGAAAAAAAAAATGAGAATTTGCACCAAATGTGGACTACCTGGGCACTATCTCTTGTTCTTTTTGGTTAACAGTTTTCATTTATATTGTTAACACTTTAAAGTCACAAGTTACCAACATCTACACCTTGAACCTCACACACTATTGTACTGTACTCTAGGCCATTTACTGCTTCTTGTTGTTGTTACTTGTTTTATCATTTATGGTCACTTAAAATTTGCAGTTGTAACTTCCCCTCATAATATTTTTGACTGTACTGTAACTTGTTTGTTGTCACACATACAGTTTATTTTTGTATTAGAGACATATACGTACATAGAGATCCTGGGCCATTTTGACCCCCATCAAATAGCAGTAGCCTTGGGTGGTGCTGGTGTTGGCCCTTTGTTCACTCATCAGCTGCCACATCTTACACATACATGAATGGCTATCATCCCACAGGAGAACCAAAATAACACATTATCATCTACCATATGCATGTCATTTAGGTTCCTGATATGGTCCACAGGAGCCAACTGGTACCCATTATATTGTTACATCCTCATTCACTTTATTATTACATTGTTTGTGTGAAGGAGAGATCCGAGCTATACTTCATCTAACTGATTGGCTTGGCTTTCAATTTGTAACATATTTGTTATGGTACAATACAGTATACTGTACAGTACTCTTAGTTTTAGGAGTGGGTAAACATCATCTCTCAACTCATATCAACTGGTAAATTTGAACGAGTGTTTACAGTGAACACCTTTAATGTGTCCCCTAACTTTTGTTCTCTCAACATATCCAGTAGAGTACTGTACAGTAGTCTCAGCCTTGATATTGTTTCTGGGTGTACTACTGTATTTATGATTTATCTTTAGTCAACCAGGTAATTGTGTTTGTACATCCCCTCTTACCAAGAATAACTTACCATGGATCCTGGGCGGGCAGTGTACTGTGCTGTGCTGTACTGTACTGTGCTGTACTGTGCTGTGCTGCACTGTACTGTACTGTTGTTGTCATAGAATAAAATAAAAATTAAATCATTAAAGTGAGAGGTGTGGTGAGGTGCAGTGATGTCACAGGGTAGAGGTTAGGTACAGTGATGTCACAACAGGTGAGTGTGAGGTACAGTGATGTCACAGGTTTGAGGTATGGGTGAGGTACAGTGATGTCACAACAGGTTAGAGTGTGAATAAGGTACAGTAATGTCACAGGATAGAGGTATGGGTGAAGTACAGTGATGTCACAGAGTAGAGGTGAGGTACAGTGATGTCACAGGGTAGAGGTGAGGTACAGTGATGTCACAGGGTAGAGGAGTGGGTGAGGTACAGTGATGTCACAGGGTAGAGGTGTGGTTGAGGTACAGTGATGTCACAGGATAGAGGTATGGGTGAGGTACAGTGATGTCACAGGTTAGAGGAGTGGGTGAGGTACAGTGATGTCACAGGTTAGAGGTGTGGGTGAGGTACAGTGATGTCACAGGTTAAGAGTGGGTGAAGTACCATGATGTCACAGGGTAGAGAGTGGGTGAGGTACAGTGATGTCACAGGTTAGAGGAGTGGGTGAGGTACAGTGATGTCACAGCAGGTGAGGTACAGTGATGTCACAGGTTAAGAGTGGGTGAAGTACAGTGATGTCACAGGGTAGGGAGTGGGTGAGGTACAGTGATGTCACAACAGGTTAGAGTGTGAATAAGGTACAGTGATGTCACAGGATAGAGGTGTGGTTGAGGTACAGTGATGTCACAGGATAGAGGTGTGGTTGAGGTACAGTGATGTCACAGGAGGAGGTGTGGGTGAGGTACAGTGATGTCACAGGATAGAGGTGTGGTTGAGGTACAGCGATGTCACAGGATAGAGGTGTGGTTGAGGTACAGTGATGTCACAGCAGGTGAGGTACAGTGATGTCACAGGTTAAGAGTGGGTGAAGTACCATGATGTCACAGGGTAGAGGAGTGGGTGAGGTACAGTGATGTCACAGCAGGTGAGGTACAGTGATGTCACAGGTTAAGAGTGGGTGAAGTACCATGATGTCTGAGGTTAGAGGAGTGGGTGAGGTACAGTGATGTCACAGGTTAGAGGTGGGTGAGGTACAGATGTCACATGGTAGAGGTGAGAGGTGAGGTACAGTGATGTCACATGGTAGAGGAGGTGAGAGGTGAGGTACAGTGATGTCACATGGTAGAGGTGAGAGGTGATGTCACATGGTAGAGGTGAGGTACAGTGATGTCACATGGTAGAGGAAGTGAGAGGTGAGGTACAGTGATGTCACATGGTAGAGGTGGTGATATGTAGGTAGCAGGTATAGTACAGTAATGATGTAGGTAGCAGGTATAGTACAGTAATGATGTAGGTAGCAGGTATAGTACAGTAATGATGTAGGTAGCAGGTATAGTACAGTAATGATGTAGGTAGCAGGTATAGTACAGTAATGATGTAGGTAGCAGGTATAGTACAGTAATGATGTAGGTAGCAGGTATAGTACAGTAATGATGTAGGTAGCAGGTATAGTACAGTAATGATGTAGATAGCAGGTATAGTACAGTAATGATGTAGGTAGCAGGTATAGTACAGTAATGATGTAGGTAGCAGGTATAGTACAGTAATGATGTAGATAGCAGGTATAGTACAGTAATGATGTAGGTAGCAGGTATAGTACAGTAATGATGTAGGTAGCAGGTATAGTACAGTAATGATGTAGGTAGCAGGTATAGTACAGTAATGATGTAGGTAGCAGGTATAGTACAGTAATGATGTAGGTAGCAGGTATAGTACAGTAATGATGTAGGTAGCAGGTATAGTACAGTAATGATGTAGGTAGCAGGTATAGTACAGTAATGATGTAGGTAGCAGGTATAGTACAGTAATGATGTAGGTAGCAGGTATAGTACAGTAATGATGTACAGTACCTGCCATTACAGGAGCACATTGTGACAGTTGCCACCACACTGATGGAGAGACGCACCAATGGTAGGGGTCTCTATAGGTGTGGTGGCCTCATATAGCAACTATAAACGCAGAACACTTAATACTAATACTTTGGTATAGTGTACAAGGAGGCACTTCACTCCACCACCATCACTTCCCCAACTGTAAATTCAGGTACCCTATTCACAGCTGGGTGGACAGGTGGTACTGTACACGCACTCGGCCGGTACCGTACGTACGTACAGTAAAGAAAACATATTATGAAGTAAACAACAGGTCCCAGATAATGAAGCGCAGGAGTGGACGTGTTATTTCATCACCATCACTGGGGACGAGATAGGCCTTGCTTATGTTCCCACACACCCTCCTTCCTCTACCTGGGGGGGTGGAATGGATGACCAAAGGAGGTACTGCTGCTGTCTCTCTCTAACAGTACTCTAGTGGAAAATGTTGTGTATGTTCATTTTATCCCTTCAGCTAGTACTAAGTTAATGTTGCTAGTTCAGTAGATGTTATTTTTAGATGGTAATATTGTGATGAAGCTCAAGTCAACCAATAAAGTGCTTTCTTACATCTTCACTTCTGACCACTAGTCATCATACAAGCTCTTGAGATTCTGCATTCCAGCCAGCCAGCCATTAGTCACTTATTCCCTGGGCCTCACTTGTGCCCATTCATGGCTCTTGGCTAGTATGTGTGGCTTGTTATTTGTTTTATATATGTTAATTCTCATGTTTAAATACTGTACTATATTGTACAGTACCTAAAGTTTAATAGACAAAATGCCTTTTAAATTTTGGTGTCATGCATGATGTTTGTGCAGATCTTCTGGGAGCCTTTAAACTCATTGCAGGAAAATTATTAAGGGCAAGACTTTGTGTAAACTTTAGTTTGTGAAGAAATGTGAGAATAAGATCAATTACTATGGTAGTTCTTCCTGTTCATTAGGAGGCAACTATTAAATTTACTGTATTCAATACAATAACTATTGTTATTATTTGTTTCAAATAAGATTCACCTCTGTACATTATACTACGTACTGCATATTAATATTCAGAGTCAAATTGTTTATGAAAATAAGGCTGAAGATGAGATAGTATTTTGTATTACTGTATATATACTGTACTATACATATAAACATATACTGTACAAAATGGCAGAGAATTGTTTGGCCTAGTTATGTGCGTGAAACAGTAACTATTTAAATCTTAATATATTGGAATTTGTAGACTGAAGGTTATGTAGTGAGTCCATACTGTACCACCATGTAAATTGATAATGTATTGGGGTGCAGAGATGAGATTAATTAAGAGTAAAGTAATGGAAGTGTAGATAAATGGAAAATAGTTTATCTGAGGCTGTTTTAGACTACTGTACTGTACTGTACACATCAAGAGAACCTGTAATAGGAGGAAGATCAGAGCTGTGTGTATGTACAGTGATCACAATACATTACTTTAACCTCTTACCAGGATCAAACATGCACCAGCTTAGCCAACTTGACAATTTTTCTACAGGTGTAAAAAAATAAACAACTGTTGTGTTTTTTATATCTAAATGTGTTAAAACATTCAGAGAAGATCTTCTCACACTGTGTACTTTTATAACTAAGCAAATGGCTTGTAGTGAAATCACTAATTTACAATTTGGTATACGACTTTATCTACACTCTTCCAATTGTTGGAAATAACTATATTAATGGATATAGTTTGGTATGTTTGTGGACTTTGGTGGATAATTTGTTGGGTTTTAACACTGAGAATCTTGTTGTACAGTTTTAGTGATGAGAGAATGATTTGTGGGCTGCAGTTATGTGAACTCCAGGTCAAATGGAACACTACTGTACTGTACTGTACTGTACATACTTATATAGAGAGTTAGATTTCTTCAGCCATTACACCTGTACTGTACAGTAGCTGTGGAAGATGTACCATAGGTGATAACCCAAGATACTGTACTGTACTTAAGGTAAAGGAAACCTTTGGTGGTAGAATTGTTTGGTTGTATTAAAACATCTTGCTAATTGTTTAACCTATTCAATGCTATTTGCCCCCCCCCCCACCCCTCAAGCTTATTGTTTGGCAAATGTCTTTGTTTTAAGTTTATAAAAAAAATCTACTTCTATAGTTTTCAACCACAGAAATATGGCTAATGTTATGCAGTCTGTTGTGACAGACTGATTCCCGGCCTCTCAGTCACTTGTGACTTAAGTTTCGGAAAGAAAAAAATCTCCTGTCCCATGAGTATTGACAGTCCAGAAAACACATTTCTTCAACAGTTGTGTCATACCACTTGTGAGATTTGGCGTGGCGACTGACAACTTTTGTGTCACAACATATCTCTTAGATTTGTTGGTTTGGTCCATTATAGGTTGCACCAATTCTTCATCCGTGTATTCTATGGAAAAATCAAATTCACTAAAGTACTTTCTTCTGTTGCTGACACTAACACCACAGTTCATATCATCTAAGTTGTAGTCATTATGGTTGAAATTTTTGCTGTCAGTCCACACAAAAGGTTCAGGTAGTGGGGGAAGTGCTGTGGCTTGGATTACCCTCCCCTCCCACGTCCTCCCACCCACCTATGCCAGTCAGCACGTGCACATTGTGGAGGGGGGGTGGGTAGGAGGGGTGTCAACCTCACTACTTCTATCACTATCGTCTCTGTTCAGCATCGCTTGCAGTGGTTTCATAATCACCACCATCATGATCACCACTATCAATGTCACCTATCAGAACAAGGCACCTGCTGTAAAATGTTTGTGGTGTGGTTGGGATAGTGGTGGGCAAAGCTTTACCCATGTCACAAACTTCTGGTTCACTCAGACTCTGGGCCTGGCACTATCTCGTGTTGTCTGTGACTGTCCTCAGCAGCATCTGTCTCTGCAAGAGTTTCCTCTATCTTTCTTGGGTTGAAGGATTTCAAGCTCTTAGAAGGACGATGAGGAAGTGGATCAGCACTCTGCACACGGCTTGTGGATGGTTGCGAGTCCATCTCTCTCTGGTGTTATGAACAAACTATTATTGGCTCATGGGAGCATCAAAGCATCTTTTTGGTTCCAATAATTGTCACACCGCCTCCATACACTGTGATCTACCTATACAAACAATGCAGTCAGCATTAAACTTGCTCCTGATTGGCCCATGTAGCCTCCTAGCAGCCATTATGGGATGTGTTCAGGCAGAATGATAGTACTGACAGCCCACATACATCATAACCCACCAATACAGTTCAAACTAGTGGTATGGGAATTGGTGAATCATTTGATGCTCTGAGTGTGGAGTGGGTTAATTATTACATCACTTTGTGTCATTGTAATCATTTAACAGTTGTAGTCACTACATTTTCCTTGGGGTCTAGGGTTCCAGTTAGTGGCTACATCACAGTACAGTACATGCTTCTTGAGTTCTAGCATTACGACTTGCTACAAAACTTACAAATACAGAAGAAAAATGTTTGCCAAATATTTTAAGCCAACCTTTACTAACAACAAGAGGCCATCACTTGTTGACCATGCTACTCATGGCAGTGACTCATGAGCAATCTGTAGTTTTAAAGAAAAGGTAATATAAATTATATAAATTTATAGGAGATAATGAAGCCCTATTGACTTAGTTCAGAGAAACACACACAGCTAAACACTGGCTGGGCCTCTCAATTAATTGGATCCTAATTTTAAAATATTTTTCATTTATTTCTATATCAGCAGCAGCTTTAATTATTTCCACTGCTACAACACCAAACATTCACTGTTAGTAAAGTACCCATAGGTAGTCTCCCTACAGTCAGCAGTCTCACTTTCATTGGGAACCATAACAAAAAAATGTAGTACATTTTTATTGATTCACCACTATGTAAATCCATGTACAGTACAGTACAGTACAGTACTCAGTGAAGGGTGGTGTGCTTACACAGTTGCATAATGTATGACATCAGTTTTTACCCCTGGACCCTTCAAAGAATAAGTACAGTATATGAATGAATTTGTTACACCAAACTTAATCAGTTTTGAATGGTTCATAAATAAACATTTTTAAACCTACAGTTTATCAATATTTCAAGTCATAAGAGCTACCACATAGGCTGATTTGACCTTGTATAACCCATGAGGCAAAACTACATCCAGATGACAGCATATTGAATAGTACTGTAATTGTTTTTTTTATTATTATTATTTTTATACAATAATGCCTTCAAAAAACATTGTGAAGTTTGCAGCCAATGTTGTTAAGGGGTCATATAGACATGCACTTCATTAGTAGCCTTCTAAAGATGCTGCTAATCATAAAATGTCTTTTTAAGACAACGTAAGAGAGAGAACGAGAGGTCGTAGCTTGAGGCTTGAAGGAGGAGGATGGACGCGCAGTGTCGTGCTGGCCAGATCCTAGGACCATCCTGAGTTGGAACACGCGAGCCAGCTCAAGCCAGCCTTTCCTTACCTGACCACACAAAATGAGATAATACCTTGACTGTCTGTCTTCTGTACGGCCTTGTACTGAGGCTGTTGTAGCTGCTCTGCACATCATCTGTGTACCTGTAGCTCTGGTGGAGGGTGGGTTAATCCCCCCTCCACCAGGGTTAATTGCATCTTAGGGGTGGCCCTTTGCCGGGGCCAAGTGATGGCAGATGTTGGCCCGTTGCTGACGGAGGTTGGCCTCGCGGTAGTGGGTGCAGGCGACCTCGCGCTGTTGAGTAACGACTCCGCATTTCCCTTGAATTACTGATCCCCATAACCAGGACAGGTAAATCAGGGTACTAGACTGGACTGCTGAATTGGCATTTAAAGTATGTAGCATTCCTAGAGTTGGGATTATGAAAATTGCCCTTAAATGTTGTCAGTCCAGCATTTATTTTAGAGAAATAATTGTGGCATAATTCTTTCATAATGTGAATGCCTTTCTTTGTGGTGTTATATGTGTGTCTCTTCATTTCAGGAGCATTACTAGACATCGAGTGAGTACTATATACTCACTCTTTAACTATGTTTCTTCTTAAAGCTAGGTCTAAATGTACTTTATATGGTGCCTCTTTTATTTTTATTGTTTTTGTTATGCTTATTATTATTGTAAGTCATGTTTTGTTTTAAACAGCTGTTAATTTGGATGCAACAGAAAACTTTTTCACTATGACATGGTTCATTCATAATTAGATTTTTAATATAGCACAATCTTAAGATTTTTTTTCTAATTAATTTTATCAATCCTTAGGTATTTATATTGTGTAAAAAAAAAATACACACACTCACAGGTCTCTCTGGTAATTTAAATTAACATAAGGTTTCCATCGGCAGGATCTCAAAGACTTCATGCGTCAAGCAGGGGAAGTTACCTATGCTGATGCCCACAAGCACAGGAGAAATGAAGGGTAAAGTCCAACTTTGTTTACAAGTATTTTGTGTTAAAGATTCATGGCTGAGAGCACCCATTATTGTGGCAACAGACTCTAGACTGCAGGGAAGAATTTTGTTCCTCCTCAACTTCTTGTGTTGTCCTCATGCAAGTTTTATGACTCACTGCATTACAATCAATAAACTATTTTTACCACTTGCATATACACCCATAATGTGAGATACGGGTGTGGGAGAGAGAGTCGGTGCACTTTATGCTACTGTTACAATTGGAAGTCATGATTGGAAAAGAAGACCTGATTTTATAAAGGGAGTACCAATGTTTACATTAATTTCTTTCACTCACACTGGGCTAAAACTTGATGAGAGAGAAAAAACCTGTCATGTTTGGTCTGGTCACGTTGGATAATACCCACCTAACATATGTCCTGGGCCAAGGATCGAACCTGGGACATAGTTGTGAGAGGCATCATCATTACTGCTTTTCCATCATGCTATTCTTCCATTATCAAACTCCAGAACACAAGTCATTTATAAGTCACAAATATTTCTCTGATTGTGAGGTGAGTTGTGGCAAACATCCAACACTGTGAGGTATGTAATTCCAGTACATTGGGATAATTCTATATGCTGTATCAGGTTAATATGATCTACCCAGAGCAATATGATATAAAGTACACAAGGTTCAGTGTATAGGTAACCTTATCCCACTACCAGAGTCACAGTGTTGGGTGATTGTCAACATGCATAACACAGATGATTGACATAGCTACTTTGCACACACACGCACACACACACACACACACACGCACACACACACACACACACACACACACACACACACACACATACATACATACATACATACATACATACATACATACATACATACATACATACATAGGTGGTTAAGACTCCCACACATTAGTACTGAACAAAATGTATAATGGGATTTTAACTAATTACTGTACGCCAATTCTTACCATGAATGTTTCTTCTCCTTGTGGCTCCTGTGTCCCTGTACTCACCTATGACCAACTGGACTTACAATCATACAGACTTTATGATTTCTGTACAATATCTCTTGTCCTTGGTCTTCCTTCTTATGCTCATGATTATTGTTTTCAACCATTTTCCACATTTGTACAGGTTACCCTCAATTACTTGATGCCAGCTGTTGGATAAAACCCTGGGTTTGTGGTGGTGAGTGGGGTAACAATATTCCATTGTGTTTTTTACCCAGCAGCTACCATAAAGTAGTCTTGGCTAACCCAGGCAAGTGTGAAAAATGGCTGTAAAACATTGCTGAGCAGGTGGGCTCACACAAACACAATATGGCTGTCAGTTGATTCATCCAGAAAAATATTTAAATGACCAGAATTGCATGAATTAGCAAGATTTAATTTTTTTCTCTGAATGAAACTAAAAGAGTACAGTACAGTACAGTGGTGTATTTCTCCTTGTAGGGTTGTAGAGTTTGCCACTTATGCTGACATGAAGGGAGCCATCAACAAGCTGGATGGCAAGGAGCTCCATGGTCGACGCATCCGCCTGCTTAATGACTCAGCACGAAGACAACGCAAATCACACTCCAGGTCTTCCTCGAGATCCAGATCCAGGTCTCGTTCACGCTCCAGGTCAGTTAAATGCCTGGATAATATCTAATGTATCATTTTGGAAGTTTATGTCGGTTGAAGTATGAATACTGAGTTACAGTTTAATTGGTATGGGCTAAAATAATACAGAACCACATTTACTGATGTGTAGTCTTTGATGACTAACAGTCCCCAAGTTATGAACCGGTTATGTTTGTGGACCTTTGTAAGTCAGAACACTGTTAATTCCATAGCTTGGGTTAAAACAAACCTGCCTATACAAAACAACAATAGTACAGTGAACCCTCGAAGATCCGGATTAAAAGGGTGGACCACCTGTCCGGAGAAGCCGATTGTCAGAATCATCCGGTGAATGAACTAAATGTATAAAAACGATAAATAATTATATAAAAAATACCAAAAATACAGTACATATTATCCAGACCACTGGGGTTAGTTATACAGACTTTTACCTGTGAAAAGCCATAATTTTGAGCAACATATTACTGTACTCACTTTGTACTCAAATGTACTACACTAAAGGACTAAAATTTTTATCTCTTGTGCAAATTATGTGATGTTAATACTAAAATGATTCACTATCTTGCAAGGATTCCAGCAATGTAAGTAATATTCCGCTAAGTTTAGTCTGTGACATTTTATAAGAAAAAAACTTTAAGCCTAAAACTACCTTCACCCTGGCTGGGAGGAAGGTAGGAGGTGAGGTGAGGTATTGACAGCAGGGTGGGGAGATTACAAAGGGCATAGTTATCAGTCAAATAGGAGTTTAAGTTTTTCCTTTACAAAATTTCACTGAATTGACTTGGCAGAATATAACTTACATTGCTGGAATTCTTGTAAGATAGTGATTAATTTTATTACAAACACCACATAGTTTGCACTAGGCATAAAAATGGTATTAATAAACTTAGTACATTTGAGTACAAGTTTGCCCATATGACAATTATTTCTTTTACTCTTTTCACAATATGTATGTAGGATGGTGTGTACGTAACTGAGTAAAAATAAATGAAGAAAGTTATGTTTGTCTACCAGAAAATACGAGTTGAAAAACAACCATAACACCTGACAGCTTGGCCCAGTAGCCTGGTGGTTATAGTGGTGAGTTTAACCTGGCAACAATGCCATTATTAATCACTATTAAGCACTATTATATCAGTAAACACTAATAATAACAGTTCATCCAGTTTAATATGGCAGAGAGGGGGAGAGGTAAGTGTACACAACTCTCAACTAGCAGTCACTCGCTCCCCTTACCTGCACCCGTTGCCAGGTTTACGATAGAAATACATATGGGAGGAATACATATCTTGTAGTCCAATTTGAAAACGGTGACGGGCACAGTGATAAATTATATAAACCATGAATTTACGTACGTTAACATAGTAAGAAACATTGTATCATTACTAGAGTAAATGAAATATCCCACACACACAACAATTGACAACTGTTTGTTTCCCATCTCCTCGGGCACCTGTGTCCAGCGCAACCGACTGGCAGAGCATGCAGTACAGTACGGTTATTAGGGTGATAAAAGTTTGGTTCGATATTTTTTTCAAAGTTCGGCACGGTACAAAAGTACAATTAATTTTTTGTACTTTTATCGTACCATTTTGAATCAAGCCGCTCCCTTGAAATGTTGGCTGGCTGGGACAATAGCTTGGGGCGATGTAGGTGTGCTCCAGCTTTCAGGTTTGGTCAGGTGAAGCCGTGAGGTCGGGTCAGGTCAGATCCGGCTTCTCTCAGTGAGCCAGTGAGACCCACAAAATTACATTGCTTCTGCCAGGCTTTCACACACACACAGACAGATACATTCTCTTTCCCGAGTCTGACGTCGTACGATGCACAGTCAGTCAGGCTGACTCTAGCAATGTTTAAGGCTTCTGTTTTTAAAGGTAAAGCATCGAAAGTTTGTCTTTATTTATATATTCTTATCAGTGTAATAATACTACAAACAGCAATAACAATAATTATTGTTGCTATAATGATATTGCATTGCAACACATAATATATGTAGTTTTTGTGGGCTAGGGACAAAAAATTAAATAAAATGTGTAATTTTGCATTAATATGTTAGAATATTAAATATTATGTTAAGAATAAAATACTAATGTTAATTTGTTACACCTTAAATTGGGCTACATTTTGTTTGGGGGTACAAAATTACGGTACCATATTTTATCGTACTAGTACGGCACGAAGGTATATCGGGTACGGCACGAAGGTATATCTGAGGTACTATACGAAGGTATATCTGAGGTACTGTACGGAGGTATATCTGAGGTACTGTACGGAGGTATATCTGAGGTACTGTACGGAGGTATATCTGAGGTACTGTACGGAGGTATATCTGAGGTACTGTACGGAGGTACAGTCTGTGTGGAATGTTAAGTCGCGATAGGGCCGACGAACTAAGTTCTCGCAAAAATAAGATCATATATTGTGAAGCCTGTCCTGGGATGCGAGATGTCAAAACGCTTGGTTTGTTGGCAAGTGCTGACATTTGACAACTGAGAACACGTCACGGCTTGTAGTCAGTGCGCCTCTGGCAGCTGTGAGGGGAATATTTATTGTGCGGGTTCTCGTGCCATGTGGCCATGTTTTGTCTAGTTTGAGGTGCATTAACCCGACATAGTGGCCATCAGAGTTGTCCAGGAGGGTTACTACAAGAGACGATATTGCAGCAGTGATTGCATTGTACAAAGCGAACCATGTACTGAGAGAAATATTGGCTCAGACTGGTGTGGCATTACGAGTTGTTCAAAATCTTGTCAAACGTTTCCGTGACCTTGGAGAGGACGAGTTACCAGCTCCATTACCTAAGTCTGGTAGGCCTAAATTATTGTCTCCACGGACACTTAAGGTTATTTCTCGACAAGTTCGGTCCAATCCCTCACTCACAGCACGTGAAGTGAAAGAGAGAAACCTCCGTCTTTTGAGTCGCGTCTTGTTACGTTGTGTTCAACAAGCCCTGCACGATGACCTGGGATTTAAGAGCTTTCGTGCCCGCCGTAAACCTCTGTTGACAAAGAGACAGAAGGAAAATAGAGTGAAATTTTGCAAGAAATATGAAGTGTGGGATTTAGAGACATGGAGGAGTGTATTATGGTCGGATGAGGCTACGTTTTCTGTGACTGGGAGTAATGGAGGGAGGGTGTACCGCCCCGCCCCACCCAGACGCGCACCTCCCACAGTACACTGTTAAGCACCCTGCCTCGCTTATGGTTTGGGCTTCCTTTACGTATTATGGTGTTGGTGAACTAATAATCCTCTCTAAGAACCGTATGATGAATCAGTACAACTATCTTGAACTGCTCAGTGATTTCTTACCTGAATCATTTGATAAAGCTAAGGCAAGCCTTTTCATGCAGGACGGTGCCCCATGCCATGCTGCTAAAAGTGTCATACAGTGGCCCAAAGACTGTGAGGTACCTTTCTTTACTGACTCGCCTGGCAGTAGCCCAGATCTTAACCCAATAGAAAATTTGTGGTCCATTGTTAAGCGTCGTCTGCGCGACGCTGACACATCATCAATCCCGAAGCTAGAGGCAGCCATCAAGGATACCTGGGCTAACTTGCCACCTGACCTCTTGTAAAACCTTGCTGACAGTGTTCCTCGAAGACTAAAAGACTGTCTGAAGCGCAGAGGAAACACTACAAAGTATTAATCGAAGTGGAAAGTGTTACTTGATTTTATTTATATAACATAATCGTAAATATCAATATTTTTTCAGCACACGATCTAACATTCCGCGCAGACTGTATATCTGAGGTACGGTACGAAATTACGGCCCGGTATTTTTCCTTTGGTACACAATACGATAAATCAATCTTACCGAACCGAACTGCATGCTCTGCTGACTGGTCAACCAGCAACCACAGGCCTAAAATGTTCTTTGCTCTGTTTTGGGAATGCTTCTTAGGGAGGCTTCTTAGCCCAGAACCCCTCAAATTTTGTCTGAATCTTCCGAAATCCGGATTTATAGGGTCCGGATCTTCGAGGGTTCACTGTATCTCATACATAACAAATAGTGAAAAACTTGGGATTCCATTCTTAAGTTGTGCATTTGTCACTCATGAACTGCCTGTTTAGGAATCAAAAAAGAAACCATCCTCTTGTCTGTCAACCACACACGTTTGTATGCAGTAAAATACAGATTTTATACAATTGTTCAGGACCGAGCACATTATCTTATGAATTTCTCCCAAGGATCGACATAAATACAATTGTTGGCTCCATTTTTCCTTTAGTTTGCATAATTATGGATGTAAATTCTTCATGAAGTATTTCAATGGTCCCCGTATGTAGTGGCTTAAAGGAGAACAGAAACCATCCCACATTGTAGGTGGCCAACATTTTTACTTGGCTGGTTTAGTGTTTATACGTATGAACTTGGGTACAGTTAAGTCATCTTGTGGCGATGACAGCATGTTTACTGCCTGCAGGAATATTGTGGTAACGTTTTGGCGGAGGTTTATCTATAATGGCTACTGAATGTAAACTCGAGTATTGAAAAAAATAATGTCTCGAGTAATGGCGTCTTAATGAAATAAACACTAAGTAATGTGACAATCTTTTAAGGAAATGTTTACAGTATTAGTCTCTTAGGTTCCATGTCACTCATCATACATCAGCCTGGTTGTACTGTACTGTACTCTACATGCTTCTAGTCCGTAGTGCTGCTTTGTGTCAAGTAATTACCCAAAAAACTGCCATGTGTTTAACTTGTACCTGAAAGTGAGGGAACATGTAGTGAGCACAGTTCAGTACAGGAGGTCCTTGTTATAAGAGTATAAGGGAACGTGTAGTGAGTGCAGTTCAGTACAGGAGGTCCTTGTTATAAGAGTATAAGGGAACATGTAGTGAGCACAGTTCAGTACAGGAGGTCCTTGTTATAAGAGTATAAGGGAACATGTAGTGAGTGCAGTTCAGTACAGGAGGTCCTTGTTATAAGAGTATAAGGGAACATGTAGTGAGTGCAGTTCAGTACAGGAGGTCCTTGTTATAAGAGTATAAGGGAACATGTAGTGAGTGCAGTTCAGTACAGGAGGTCCTTGTTATAAGAGTATAAGGGAACATGTAGTGAGCACAGTTCAGTACAGGAGGTCCTTGTTATAAGAGTATTCACTTTCTGGTTTTGCAGTTAAGTGGTCAACTTTTTGTGACCATCCACGTAAAAAGTCCCCACATTTAAGTTGATTCCATTCAAAATCTACTCCAAAACTCTGGATAAAATCTTTGGATTTTTAGCTGAGGTGTTTGAAATTTCAACCTCTTCCTGGCGTCATGCATGCACACACGTGTCCCCACACCAGTCTCCCGCTTTGTTTCATCCAGACCGGTGCTGTGTTAGGTTTACTCTTGCCTCTGTCGTGTCTTCGTGCATGTTGTGGCGAATTATTTTATCATTTTTGTAACCATTAGTTCCCAACCCAAACAGGGTGGTGCAGTACTCAAAGAGAAGCACATTAGCTATAGTATAGATGTAAAATTAGAAGTGATTAGGCGAAAGAACAGTGGGAGTGGACAATACTCCATTATTTTTCATCCAATATTAAAAATGAAGATAACTTTATAAAGAGAAATAAAAGACGGATTTTTGGGATTGGCAAAATTCGTGATACAGTAAGTCCTCGCTTAACGTCGGGGTTACGTTCCTGAAAATGCGAAGTTATACGAAACAACGTTAAGCGGATCAATTTTCCCCATATAAAATAGATAAAGCAGTCTTTTGCCGCTTTAAAACCTGGCGCTCTTTTCTCCTCTTTGGAGATATAGGTCTTCTCAGGCATCCTCTTCCAAAAGAGCCCAGTCTCATCCACATTGAAGACTTGCTTCGGTGAGTAGCCTCCTTCCTGGATAATCCGTTTGAATTCTGGCGGGAATGTCTCGGCAGCAACCGTATCTGAACTGGCAGCTTCACCAGTCATCTTAATATTGTGGAAGTCATACCTGCGCTTAAATCGTTGAAACCAGCCTCGGCTGGCTGTAAAGGTCTCTTCCTTCGATCCTTCACCCTCTTCTTCCTTTATGTCGTCAAACTGGGATCTGGCCTTATGCTGGATAACCATAAGGCTCACAGGGGCATTGCTTTGATTCTGGTCCTCCATCCACATTGCCAACACCTTTTCCACCTTCTCTATCACAGTGCTTCTAGTACGAGTCATCTTAGTAGCACTCGGAGAAGAACCACTTCCAGCACTAACCTTAATCTTGTCAGCGTTGGTCAGGATAGTACTCACCGTTGTGAGGGTTGGACCAAGCACAGCGGCTCAGTCCACAGCACATTCCCCTTTTTCAAATTGGGTTAATACATCCATTTTCATAGCAAGGGTAATGGTCTTACGTTGCCTCTTCACTACACTAGCATCAGTAGCACTTGATGGGCACTTGGAAGCCATTTCGAATGGTTAGAGTACAGTTTTAGAGCAAAAGCACTTAAGCACATACGAATAATATGAAGTCGTAACAGAGACTAGCTTGGCGTCGCTGTGACATTCTGCGAGTGAGGGCAGCGCGCCAAGCCGAGAGAGCGTCACGCGGCCAGACAAGAGCGGGTGATGTACCGTAGAAAGTAGTCCGTGACGACGCAAAACGACCTAGTACCGAAACAATGTTAAGCGGGCCGATGTTAAGCGAGGACTTATTGTATCTCGATTAAGTATGGAGTGAGAGTTTTTTATTTAAAATTTCCCAATATTTTTTGCCCCTATTTAGTGCTTGTTTGCCACATCAACAAAAATGGTTAGGTCAAATGTTGGTAATACAAAATGTAGGTGTGGGTATGGTCATTACAGGGACCATTTTTCAGACATATATGATGGAAAGTAAGGAAAAAGTGCAGTTATAGAATGGTAAGCTTTTTTGTAAAATTTCTTACTTTTTTTTCCCTCAAAATATACAGTGACCCCTCGTTTAACGAACGCCTCGGTTAACGAAATTTCGGTTAACGAACTGCCTTCCATAAGGATCTTCAATTCGGTTAACGAACAAAAATTCGGTTAACGAATTTCTTACGAACCGACCTCAACATGTTTTCGATTGCACTGACCGGGCAACCAACTTTAGTATCAGTCCGCCAATACATTAATCGGTTCTAGGGCTTAAATTCCTTACTATTTTAGTAAATATCAAGAAGTTTATACTATTCAATAATTTTAAAAGTTAAATATTCAATTTTTTAATCATTTTAACAATTATTGAACATAATTGAAGGTAAAGTCACTAGTTTAATGCGCGGCATCCAGCCTCTTAACACAGCAAACAGGCATTAGTCTCTCTCTGTTTTCACTGGAGGTAACATCTTACTTGAGTCTCTCTTCAACTAAATGCTTTTTTTCTGTGTTTCCAAGCAAATTATTGGTCATTTTGAAATATATTTTACATATTGACAATATATAATGCAGTGCAGTGTTGATTTAAAGAAAATAATCTTGAATTACACCAAGAGAGCTAAAATTTTATGGGTGAAATGGCACCATGGGGTGACTTCTCTTCCACCCCAATGCCTTCTCTTCTTCCTTCTCCTCCACCCCCATTGTAAATCCCATCATCATCATCATCATCCAGGAGCCTTCTACATACACACCTAAGAGTAAGTGAACTTTTCTACCAATTTTGTTGAATTTAGGAAATTTTCGGTGAGCTGGAACCAATTACCCAAAAACCCATTGAAACAATGGTTTCGGTTAACGAACTTTTCGGTTAACGAACGACCTTCTGGAACGGATTGAGTTCGTTAACCGAGGGGTCACTGTATTTGATTAATCTCTGTTGAAGTTACAGAATCTCTTAGTTAGGCAACCCAGCATAACACAAATTTAAATCAGGGCAGTCAGACAAAAATTAAATCACCTTATTCGGTAACAGGCGACAAACTATCTTAAGAAAACTGTGGCTAAAATGGGGGGGTGCGTCTTATATGTCATAAAATACGGGAGTTGTATTGTTATTGTGACTTATGAGTGATTTTTACCTTTGAAATACACTTGTGCTGTTTTGTATGTGTGTGTAAAATAATTTAGTATTATTTGATTGTATTACATACGTATAAAGTTTTTTGGATCATATCTGACTGTTACTAGTTTTTACTTGAGAATGTACATCTAGTGTAAGGCTAAACTTTATTTTGGCCATAAGGTATCATATTGTCTGTCTTTCAGGCATTGCCACTACCTAGTTTCTTTTGTGTTGACGACTAATACAGTATATTTACAATTTCAGGTCCCGTTCCCGAAGCCGATCAAGGTCTCGTTCCCGATCCAAGACCAGGTCACGTTCCCGTTCACGGTCTCGATCTCGCTCCCCGTCTCGGTCACGCAGTCGTTCACATTCTAGGTTAGTTGTTTTACAGTACAGTACTACCACGCCCGGTATATAAGGGAGCTGTGCAGTGTGAGATTGTTATCTTAGCTAAGTGCATATGAAGTGTTTGATAATTAACAGTGGTAATGTTTGACACACCTAAATTCCTTATATAGAAGCCTAGAGTGGAGCTGGGTGCCTGTTGCACATCTTACTACCTCACATGTAATGCCTGTATCACCAAACACCCTGTATGAGATGTCAACATAATGCTTTGGTGAAGTAGAGGTTACATTCTCACAAAAGAATAACTGTTAGATTATAGTAAAACATTAACATTCATCATCTTCATCACTTTAGATTCATTCTCTGGGTTAGTCAGTATTTAAGGCCTCCATTATATAGAAGGAACATAAGCATAAAACTGACATTTGAGATGTGGATGTTAAAAGATCAGGCTAGCATGATAGCACAGCATTACTCTCCTATAGTTACAGTATTGACAAATATATTCTGGAAAATTCTGGGTAATAAAGTACCTTGAACTCAACAAGATTGTATACTATGCCCCTGGTATTATAGTGGTTAAAATTGTGAGAGAGAAATATAAGTTGCTGTGACCTGTAATGCAGAACATCTTGAAGTACAGTGTTGTATAGAATCCCATGGGTCTGATCATCTAACAGAGCTCTTTGTTATTCTTCAGACTAGCTCCTTGACATTTCTTGGTCCAACAATACTGTATCATGTTAGTCACCAAATTTACCTTGAATGATCTGGTAATGACACGTAGCGACCTCCTTCATTATAACGAGTGCACCCACAGGTTTTTTTTTTTTTTTTGAGACATCTCTTTTTAAGTAAGAGTAAAGTACTGTCACTGTACAAACAGTGGAGATTCCTTCAAACCTGTTATTATTATTTGAACTTCAGAAGATTTCATGGAGGGGGGGGGGATAAAGTTCAGTTCCGGGTTCCTCAGCTACAGTCATCTAGATACACCTTAAACTTTTTAAAAAGATTTCAACAATACTAATATAACTGGAATAAAAGTTGGTAAAACATTATTTAGATCCTGATGATCACTGTTTTATGGTAATTTTCTTGAGTATTTCATAAAGTCTAATAAATCATAATAGTGAGCAGATGTGGTCATTGTGTGTAGGTATATATTGTAGCTCATACAAGCAACTTATTATTTGACCCATAATTATGAAACATGGCTGTTCTTGTTGTAGAGTAATATAGTATACAAAGGCTTACTCTCACATAGTAATACTTTACTGTGTTGAAGATAAGCAAAGTGAAATGTTTAACACCTAACAGTTTGAGGAAGTCTTGGCCACCAGGTCTGTGACAGTACAGTACAGAACAGAGAAGAGAGTTTCTCTACACCATACTGCAGTACTCCGAAACATTGCGTTTGTAAACAAACAGTAACACTCAATAGTACAGTATTGCAGCTTCTAACATGAGGCATAAGGGCAAGTCTCCCCTTGTTTTACTGTAGTGAGAGGACAGTACTGTACCCAACATGAATATTGTTTATCATTATAACTGCAGTACAATAACCTATTTTAGATACATTAGTGTGCAGGTTATCATGTTATAGAGCTCTTGAACAGTAATATGTGAAATATACAGTGTCAAGGTTCATGTTTGTCTATGATCATTCCTCCCTGTCTTATACACATCACACTTTAACATGTTCATCATAACTCCCAGTGTCACTCTCTCTCATGCTTCCAAGTATACTGTATGCACCTTGGGGAATCTTCTTACTCCACTCATTATAATAATTTATGTTCTTCAATTGTAAATAACTGCCATATTTTATCTTCTACTCTCACAATGAAGATGATAGCTTATTGCAATTTTTTTCTGTTATAATTTTGGAGGAAGATTCAGTAAATGCCACTCTGCTGTAAGTATGGGAGAAGGAGAGAGAGAGAGAGAGTACAGTTATGTGATACAGGTGACATTTAACCTACCAACCCCTCTCACATCTGTACGTTGGATACCTTGCTTGTGTCTTTACCCTGACTGTTAGTTTATACCAAGACTCACACAGATAGTACAGAGTGCCCTCACCCCAGGCTTACACTCATGGAAGAGGGCTGAAAGTTTTCTTATAAAATTTGTGTAACATTTAACTTTTTTTTTTTTTCATAGTTACTTGTACTTTTTGTCATCTAACTGCTTGCTGTTGCCATTAACCTCCCCCAGAGAGAGACGGCCGAGGAAGTCACGCTCAAAGTCTCGATCTAAGTCCCGATCCCGTTCCCGGTTGAGATCCCAATCTAAGTCTAGGTCCAGATCCAAGTCCAGATCCAAGACACATTCACGGTCCCACTCCAAGGAGAAGTCCAAGTCCAAGTCCAAGTCCAGGTGAGTTATGGGTTTGTCTTTGTTTATTATATTTAGTGAGTCCAATCAAGTCCCAACAGATCTTCAACTTTCGCTGAGTCAGTGTTGTCGGGATCTGAGTCAGTGTTGTTGGGGCTCTTGGTCAATTAGAATTATCCAAACTTCTCAAAATTATCACACACTTGTGACTTTTTACAGCCTGCCTCTCACTTGGAAAGAAATTCACGATTTTTACTGGACGTGTGTTTTGATGGTTGATACTGGGAATCCTAGCCCAACACTGTTGTAAGAATAATGTAGCATATACTGTACTCAACAGACACCTTATTTTAAAATTAACATGAATACATATGCAGTGCGTCCCTGACTTGGGAATGAGATTCCATATATTCACCACAAAAATCATTTATGACTTATGACCATTTGCTGGTGCTTACAAACCGGCACTACTTTGTTCAGTGGTTGGCCTCCACTCATGCTTGGTGGTTCTGCATCCTGGCAACAGCAACAAACAGTCCACTGGTTAGCAATTTTGTGTGTTACTCAGAACTTTGCCACCAACAAGTGGCAGTCTATAACACTTCAGATGAAGCTAGACATAATAAAAGGAAGTGAAAAAGGTGAGAGCCCAAGTGATATTGGCAGGTTGCTGCAGCTGAACAGGTCCACCCCCAGCTCTCCTCCCCATCACATTCTACACCTACCCCCAGCTCTCCTCCCTCCACATTCTACGCCTTCCCCCAGCTCTCCTCCCTCCACATTCCACCTACCTAGCTCTCCTCCTCATTCTACACCCACCCCCCAGCTCTCCTCCTCCCCTCCACATTCTACACACCCACCCCGCCTCCTCCCTCCACATTCTACACCCACCCCCTCCTCCCTCCACATTCTACTCCTACATTCCCCAGCTCTCCTCCCTCCACATTCTCCCTCCACATTCTACACCTACCCCCAGCTCTCCTCCCTCCACATTCTACACCTACCCCCAGCTCTCCTCCCTCCACATTCTTGACCTACCTCTGGTTCTCCTCCCCTCCACTAAGCATTGCTTTGTCTTTTCCTAGAGACTGTAGTAAGTCAGTTAGGACAGGCATTGGGAACCTGTCTGGTACAGTTGCCTGGTTGACTCGTCAAAAATCTATTACTGGTCTCCATCCTCCATCGCTCCTGGGAACTAGGAAAAGAGGCGAGTTCCATGGTGATGAGGAAGGTTGGATTACCTCTTATTCCACCATTTCTTGCACCATTTGTTCAACTACAGCCCTTTGGCTGTGGGGTAGCTGATATGCTGGTATGTAGATCGGGTGAGTGCCCGGCTTGAGTGGAATGTGATGGGTTGTCAACGTTGTTTTACCTGGGGGTTCTCCAGGTAACGCTATGATTTCCTTGAACTCGGCGATTAATTCCAAAAGATCACGTTTACCTTGAAGATGATCGACTACTTTCACATATTGAGCTATGAACTCTATCTATCATCAATACGTGATTTCTTGGTCAGTTCCCCTTGTGTTACTCTACCTATTGGCAATGTTACTGGTTCTGTGATGACTGCTTTGTAGTAAACAAGGAAATTACCCAAACAACATCCCTTTCTTAATGTTATGGGTCCCCCAGTTCTATTGAGAAGAAGGGGATCTGGCATCTGTAACACTACCTGACCTGACTGTGCTTAAGGTAGACTCAAGTGACAAGCGTTTCACTCAGACACACCACATCTGTTCCTTCACTCACATTTGGCAATCGTACTGTGATACTAGCTAGTTCCTGGCTATGTAACTGTTGTACACCAGTTGACACAGCAGGCGTTGAAGTCCAGTTCTTGATGCTTGCATCCTGAATGTCCTTTGAGGTACTAGGTGGAGTTTCAGGGAGTGACTCCTTAACTAATTGCTTCTGTTCAATAGACTCCCCCGCACCTGTCGAGGCAGTTATTATATGAACACCCGAGATAAGCAATGGATGTGAAGTTTGCATTGTGTAGTAAGTTTTACAGTTATGTGTTATGGTGTGATTTCTTGGCTGAACGTTAATGTTCTGCTTTAGTGTAGAAAGACTGATTAACCTATTCAATGGCAAAGAGAATGCCTTTACAATGTAGAAGTCTGCCAGAAAAGGTTTACTGGACCCAGAAAAACGGATTGGCTGTGTTATGACTCCCACTATGTCTAATTGGATTCCTGACACACCGGACAGGTCTTATTGGCCACTTAATAGGGGGGATATTGTCGCTTGAGTTCATTGAATTACGCTAATGAGATAACAGTGGCACAGGCTCCCGTATCTACAGTATGTCTAGGGACAACTGTTAGTTACCTATCCTTGCTGGTACAGTCAACACCTCCACTTTGTATAATGCGACGATTAATGAATGTGATGGAAGCGTTGTTTTCTTGTACCATTAACACTATCCCAGATCGTGCTGCTGTATGCGCACATCTTCCCCCAAAGGATTACGTCACACGTCTTGCGGCGATCAACCTGGGGGCTGACCTTTCTTGCAGCGATCAACCTGGGAGCTGACCTTTCTTGGGGCGATCAACCTGGGGGCTGACCTTTCTTGGGGCGATCAACCTGGGGGCTGACCTTTCTTGCTGTGATCAACCTGGGAGCTGACCTTTCTTGGTGTGATCAACCTGGGGGCTGACCTTTCTTGCTGCGATCAACCTGGGAGCTGACCTTTCTTGTGCACTAGAGAGGCTTGATTGTTTAAACAAGAGGCTGCTTGCTTGTCTGGAACCACGATGACAACCTTCCTAGTACTCCTGTGTTGTAGTGCTGGCAACTGGTTGGCTGGCTGTTTGCTGGCTGGGACACTTAAAACAACACTCGGGTAGGCTCTGCTGGTGTTGGTTCCACTCGGGTCACCATGAGCTGTGTGCTGGGGGGTTCACTGCTATGTCAGCAAGTCTTTATATTGTTTATGTTACAGCTGGATTTTTGTGTACACGTTTTGCAGGTGTTTTTAACCACTGTCCACTTTTTTTTTTTTTTTTTTTTTCAAATGTTTTGTTTGATGATGATTCACTAAATGTCACTTGGGTCATCAATAATTGCTTGAGTACTGCACTAGTTTATAGTATTCGTCTCACCATTTGCCACCAAGTGTGATAGCTGTTTTGGTATCACACTAAATGTTTTAATTAAGTTCTGGAACTAAGTGGCAGGGCTTGATGTAAACGCTTATTGGCATTTTCTGCTTTATCGCCTATTTGTAGGTACAGTCATGCTCCGGTTAACGACCTAGATACGTTCTTGGAAACGTGACGTTAACCGAAATGGACGTTGTCCAATCATCACATAAACTTTGTATTTATACTTACATGTATGTGGAATACTATATACGTACATACAGTCGGCCCTTAACATACGCGGGGGTTACGTAACAGAGATACCCGTGGATGTTAAAAATCCGCGTATTTTTGCTGCCCCCCCCAAAAAAAACCCTGGCCCCCCATGTCCTTATTTACCATATATACCTGTGTGTAGTTCAAGTTTTTAAGACCAAATAGTTTCGTTAGGTTGAAAAATATTTACCAGTAACTACCAGTAAACAATGGAAACAATGCACCAACGCACCACCAGCTGTGAGTGTCGGTACAGTTGCCAGGGCAGATCTCTTGCGTCATCATAGCAAGCCCAAAGTAGCCAAATCCATGGTATGGTAGCACAGGATGATGTAAAACATAAAGTATTCATTTATTAAAGTTTATTTATAGATACTGTACATATATTTTTGTTCATTACATTTGAAACATCAATCTTTGTTAATTAAATTTGAAACAAAAGAAAACTACGATACCGTATTTTCATTAAAATATTACATCACAAGTATATTTTACCTTAACTGTGACTGAATGAATATACTTATTCTCAGAAATAAATATGGAAATATAATATTTTTGCTGGAATGACGTACATATTACAGTGGAAAGTGGGATAAAATCATGACGAAAACAATGACTTTCGCTTTCTTTCGTTATTCAAAAGATTTTACCGTAATTGCTTTTCGAATGGTTTTCAGTTAAAAAACTGTTGTACTCATACTGTATTACAATAATATTCTATCCTATCATTAGCCTTATAATCCCACAACTGAAAACCATTCGAAAAGCGATTACGGTAACATCTTTTGAACGAAAGAAAGAGAAAGTCATTGCTTTCGTCACAATTTTATCCCACTTTCCACTGTAATACGTACATCATTTCGGCAAAAATATTACATTTCCATGTTCTCAGAAATAAATGGTAGTTTTGTTGAAACGTAATGTACAGTATTTAATATTAAAATGCAAAAATAGCTATAAAAACAATTAATACACCCGTAATGTACTGGCTGGCATCTCCACTCGTCCCTGCTCCTGCGTCCAAGGTCACCACTCCTCCCAACTCGCTCGCTCCCTCCTCCACCTCCTCACCGTCACTACTGCCGACAACAAACACAAATGTTTTGTGAATAACTGCACCTCCACTTCCTATGTACAGTACTGAACTGTACTGTGCTGTGCATTTTTACAAACAATAAACATGGCAAGAAAAGCTATTAAAAAAAAGAGATAAAAATTTCACTTTACTGTACAGTGGTCTCTCGGTTAACGAACACAATCCGTTCCAGCAGGTTGTTCGTTAACCGAAACCATTGTTTCAATGGGTTTTTGGGTAATTGGTTCCAGCTCACCGAAAATTGCCTAAATTCAACAAAAATGGTAGAAAAGTTCACTTACTTTGAGGTGTGTATGTAGAAGGCTCCTGGATGATGATGATGATGATGATGATGGGAATTAGAATGGGGGCGCAGGAGAAGGGAGAAGAGAAGGCATTTTGGTGGAAGAAAAGTCACCCCATGGCACCATTTCACCCATAAAATTTTAGTTCTCTTGGTGTATTTCAAGATTATTTTCTTTAAATCAACACTGCACTGCATTATATATTGTCAATATGTAAAATATATTTCAAAATGACCAATAATTTGCTTGGAAACACAGAAAAAAACCGTTTAGTTGAAGAGAGTCTCAAGCAAGATGTTACCTCCACTGAAAACAGAGAGAGACTAACGCCTGTCTGGTGTGTTAACAGGCTGGATGGCACGCCAGAAACTAGTTTCTTTACCTTCAATTATGTTCAATAATTGTTAAAATGACTAAAAAAGTTAATATTAAACTTTTTAAATTATTGAATAGTATAAACTTCTTGATATTTACTAAAATAGTAAGGAATTTAAGCCCTAGAACCGATTAATGTATTGGCGGACTAATACTAAAGCTGGTTGACCGGCCAGTGCAAGCAAAAACATGTTGAGGTCGGTTCGTAAGAAATTCGTTAACCGAATTTTTGTTCGTTAACCGAATTTAAGAATCTTATGGGAGGCAGTTCGTTAACCAAAATTTCGTTAACCGAGGCGTTCGTTAACCGAGGGACCACTGTACCGTACCTATCCTCGGCGACAGGACGGGGATCATCGGGCTCATCGTCACTCAATTCCATAACGGGTGGTGAAGTGGGGGCCACGGTGGATTCAGCTGCTTCCTCACTGCCGCCAGTGATTGATGGTGTTAAATCTCTCCTTCGGTGATCAAAGAACATGGCAATGGGGAGTTGTCGTCTCTTTCTTTTCATTTCTTCCATGATGTTTTTGTATGGAGCAAAAACGTCATCCATCCCTCGCATGAATTTCAGGGCACGCACCATGGAGGGGTCCATACTATAGGCCAGGTTTTTCAGTGCCTCAATATTCCTGGTCATCTCCCCCAACTTCTCCAACGTTATTTCTTGGTGCTCTCTTCTTTCCCTTTCGCTTCCTCTTCCTTGCCTGAGTCTACTAACTCCTGTAGATCCTCCTCGGTCAGCTCAGTGTCGTGCTCTTCAATTAGCTCCCTAATCTCGTCCTCTGCCATGTCCTGGAAGCCTTCAGCAGCCACTTTCCTTGACAGTGCCAGGGTCTTTCTGAATATTTTCATTAAAATCCATCAAAATCATTTTCCTTGTCATCGTCTTAAGCACCAAACAGCTCCTCCCAGTCTTCTCCTTGAACAGGGCTAGAAGGTACGTGTTTTTTGAATCGTTTTCAATTAAAAAAACGTTACAGCACATGTATATTTTACCTAAACTGTGCCTGAATGAATATATTCTCAGAAATAAATAGTAGTTTTGCTGAAACGTGATGTATTTCAATGTAAAATAGGATAAAATACATGACGAAAACAAAAGATTTTACCTAACTTTCCGATGTTCAAGAGATGTTACTCGTTTTTTTAATAGTTTTCGGTTAAAATACTGTTATATTACAATGATATTCGATTCATACTGTGCTTGATATACTACATTCACGGAAATGTAATATTTTTGCTGAAATGACGTACGTATTACAGTGGAAGGTGGGATAAAATCGTGACGAAAACAATGACTTTCGTTTTCTTTCGTTCAAAAGATGTTACCGTAATTGCTTTTCGAATGGTTTTCAGTTAAAAAAAACTGTTGCATCACAAGTGAATTAGGATAGAATATTATTCTAATACAACAGTTTTTTAACTGAAAACCATTCGAAAAGCGATTACGGTAACATCTTTTGAACGAAAGAAAGCGAAAGTCATTGCTTTCGTCACTTTCCACTGTAATACGTACGTCATTTCAGCAAAATATTATAATTCCATATTACAATTCCATAGTAGTTTTGCTAAAACGTAATGCATTTCAATGCAAATTAGGATAAACTACATGAAAACAAAAGACTTTACCTAACCTTCCGATGTTCAAGATGTTACTCGTTTTTTAGTAGTTTTCGGTTAAAATACTCTTATATTAGTGATATTCTATTCATACTGTGCTTGGTATAATACATTCACGGAAATGTAATATTTTTGCAACTACAATGCTGATGTCAACACAAGCGTGGTTACAGCGAGACTGACTGAGTGAGGGAGAGCTATGCGTGTGTGTGTGTGAGGTTGCGGGAGCGGGCGGTGCTGCGTGCGAGTTGAATGGCGCGCGATTTGAATGTACTTCAATGTACAGAATATTCCTCCGGCGGGGCAATCCGTGTATGCTAAACCCGCGTATGTTAAGGGCCGACTGTATACACTTTTACTCTTAAATCACTACTGTAATGTGATACAGGTGATTAATTTTCATCTCTTGTGCAAAATACATGATGTTTATATTAAAATTATTCACTGTTTTACAAGTATTCCAACAACGCAGGGCAGATGGGAGAGAGGGAGGGAAGGGGCGTGGGGGGAGGGGAGCGGTTTGACAGTTGGCACAGGCCCAGGTCTAACGCGTGTATCAGTTCTTAAGTGACTAAGCTTCTCTCTCATAAAAAGCCAGTGAATTGACCTGGGTGAATATAATTTACATTGCTGGGATTCTTGTAAGATGTTGATTAATTAAATATAAACAACCTATAATTCACACTTGACATCACAATTTTAGTACCATAATCAAATTAGTACATGTGCACTCCAGCTTTGCAGTAAAGTCATTTATTTCTTTTACGTTTCTTTTAGTATGGTGTGTGCATGTAAATGGATGAAAATAAATGAAGAAATTTATGTAAATCTACCCAAAAATACAGTTGAAAAACTTTATATTATAAAATGTACTACAGTATTGTACAGTACACTAATGTACTACAATTTTTATCTCGAGCAAAATATATGACGTTTATATTCAAATTAATCTCTGTCTTGCAAGATTTCAGCAATGCAAATTATATTCTCCTAACTTTAGTCTGAGATATATAAAATAAACAAAGAAATCACCAATCTTTTGTCTGGGAACACAAGGAGGGAGGTAGCCAGCGAGCGTGGGAAGAGGGGGGGAGCAGCGAGAGGTGAGGTGACAGAGTGTCTGGTGTTTGTTTATTTATTTGAGATATGATTTGACAGTTGGCGCTGAAGGCCTGCGTGTTTATTTATCATTACTTAAGAATGACTAAGCTCTTCTCATAATTTGCCACCCAAACTACCTGGGTGAATATAACTTACATTGCTAGGATTCTTGTAAGATAGTGATTTATTTGAATACCTGTATAAACAAGCTATATTTGCAATAGACATAACAATTTTAGTACCGTAATCATTTAGTACATGTACAGTACAGGTTTGCACTAAGGTCCATTGTTAACCGAGGGACCACTGTATTGCAGTGTACTTGTACTGTACAATATTGACTAAATTCACTAGATAACGTACACAACTAATGGTTGGTAAAACTTGTTAAATAAGTGAGTGTCAAGTCTGTCAGTATGAGTGGCACGTGTGAGTGCTTGTGTCCCCCATCATAGGAGCCCGTTTTCTCTCGCTTCAGGATGCCTGAGTCCTCCGTTTTCTCTCTTAATCTTAGAGTGCACCAGAGACTTCTTTATTCCTTAGTAATGACACAGAATTTCAAATTGCAACCCCAATTGCAACTGGGGTTGCAATTGTTGAGGCAACTAGATATGTCTGATTACAGCAAATGTGTTATTGTCAATTTGTAGGTGAAAGATTTTATCCTCAATAGATGTAGGTTAACTTTACCCCTGGAGGCAATTGCTTACTAAACCCTAAGGAAGGATATTCCTTTAACACATAATATCTGGCCAGTATGGGAAGGATCATCGTGTCTCTGTCAGGGGGTCGTGGAGTGGTGGTCCAGCAGGCGTCACGGGAGTGTGTTTTTTTTTGTTTTTTTTGTGGGGGGTGGGGTCACAGACGTATATGCGATCGGACGTTAACCGGCACATGACTGTATATACATAGGTACAATCTGAGATAATATATTGTGAATTTTCTTCGGGGAAGTGTTGTGAATAACACTTTTTGAGTTAGTGCCCAGCTTCCCTTTCCAGTGGTAGTAAGTGAACTGCCACTCCCTGGGCATGAGAGAGTGGGCTGGTTGTTTGCTAAATCTGCTGACCCTGGCTCGACCCTTGAGAGATGCAAGCCAAGTTATCTAGAGTGGTGAATAACATGGTGAATCACTTGGTGTTATTCATTTGGGTGCATATTTATGTAAAGTAAAGGTGTTGTTACACTGTACTTGAATTGCTTGATCCAAGCTTGTTTATGAAAATTAATTTATTTCCCATCATTGTGTTTTGAGTTTGAAACATTCACAAATAACCCAATTTTTGTGTGAACCAGTGAAGTGACTCGCCAATTAATCTAGTGCAGGGAGAATTCACTGAACTTTATATCTTAAAGAATTAATAGATTAAGGAGTAGAGCTCTCTGCCATATTTATTAATATTCATTTAAATCACAGGTCAAGATCACAGAGTCACAGCAAGTCTCCTGTTAATGATAAATCCTCCAGCCGATCACGATCCCGGACCCCGAAGGTAACAGCAGAAGAAGAGAATTAGAATAAATGTGAAAATAATCATGATGAAAATTACAACAGATTGCTTCTATCAGCCTATTGGAATTTTTTTATTAAGTTATTGTTTATGAAGGAACTGTTTGTTTTGAGTGAAGTTTATAGTAATTCATACTTTTTTTTCTTTTTTTTTTTCTTTTCAAAATAATGATATCATCAATTGAAATGCAACTTATACTGAAAAAAGTCACTACTGTACACCAGCCAGTGTATTTCATAATTTTTTACAGAGTAATTATGTATAACAATTATTATTGTTTCATTTTGTAGCAGTTGGCTGTAATAGTGGCATCACTGTGTCAGAGAAAGAGTTGTGTAATTCTGTTTAGATCTTTAATGAAATAAAGTGTGAAACTGTAAACATTAAAGTGCATGCAGATTTTGCAGTGTTTCCTAAGTATTTTTTGAGATATAATGACAGCACATGTTTTGTGTGTGCTAATTGTTAGGTCAGCACATAAGGTGTGTGGAATAGATTATTTGAAGAGGTCTTAGTCATTGCCAGTTACTTATTTGTACTCTTAAAGGTTTTATGTAAGTGATTGTTTACAATTGGTAATGTTGGGCATTCATGTTAATACTGTACTGTATGTAGTTGTTTTGTGACAAGTAATCCTTATACAGATCAAGTAGAAGTATCATGTACAAAAAGAGACCAATACATTTTCTCGAAAATATGTACCTGAATTCTTGTATAGTAAAAGGATTGTGAAAAAATTGAGTTTTTCATCCAGTAAATGATTGCTTATAAAATATTAATAGCAGATGGTACTTTGCCAGCAGTGTGTGTTAGATCCAGGTGTTCTCCTGGGGTGAAGAGCTGTCTCTCATGTTATTAATAACCCTTGTTGTTCTGGAGGATGCCACTTATGTAGTAGTGAAAGATGATGTAAAACACATGTTAGAATTTAGTCAATAATTATGAAATGCATGATATCTATAGAGATTTTTTTCTGCATTTTATTCCATCTCTTTTATTGTGTAAAAGACACAGCCTGTACTGTACTGTACTGTATACTATATTTTGCTTCACCTTAGTCAGGAATTACATGTAAAGGGATACATGGCTGTGTCTTAAGATAATTCTTGTCAGAAAACAACTCATGTCTAAAAGTCAGACCTTGATCAACATCTGTACATTAATCCTCTACTGCTCTTTTGTCTTTTCACAAAAATATATAAATTCAGAAATATAAGCACTTTAATAACCAATTGTTTATCTTGCTCACATGTTTGAGAGTACTGTATAGTTGCTTGGTCTCAATGTACAGTATATAGCGTGTTTTATGTGTGTAACCAGGAGAGACCCCACCTCCACACACACTTTTAAAATTTACGTGCATGAGATAAATTAATTGCATAGACAAAAACAATTATTGGTGTCAGGAATTTTGGAATAGCATACACATTGGTGGTAGGATTGCAGATCTCGTGGTAATACATATAGTTACCATGGCTACACTATCAAAACTCTGAAGAAAACTACATATGATTGCTGTTTAGTTAATATAATGGGAGTTGTTTATGGACTAAATCAATGTATAAGTAAATCATAAAGGGATTATAAGATTTGAACCATATTACTAACTGTTAATGACAACTGATGATGATGTAAGTTTTTTCAATACAAGTTATAACCAGAGTCTACTTACACCTTCATAAGGTGCAATGGTCAAAACGTTGGCCCAACTGAATTGCACCTGCATATTAGCACCAGTGACAACACAGTCAGGTTTCAGGGATGTGATTTCTCCATTTTTTTTTTCTTCTGGTTTTCCGTTTTTTTTTCCCCCGTCGTTTTAGGCCACCCACGTAGATCCGTTGATATATATATTATATGCAAGTAAATCACTGTAGGTGCCGTGATCCAAGTATATGCTGATAACCACAAGGAAACAAGAAGTTCCCAAGCGCTTTCGTGTAGTTCACTTCTTCAGGGGTGAGTACAGACTAAGGAGTAATACTTGACAAGGCAAATATATACAGTAGAGGAGAGTGAGATCAAGTCCCTAGGGGACAGCAGGGGTCCACAATGTTCTGGTCATAAGGCAGTGACCCAACCCTTTCTAATCTTCTTAATCAAAGAGGGTTTCCTTGTGGTTGTCAGCATAAAAATATATTTTATATGTGTGTGTGTGTGTGTGTGTGTGTGTGTGTGTGTGTGTGTGTGTGTGTGTGTGTGTGTGTGTGTGTTATATATATATATATATATATATATATATATATATATATATATATATATATATATATATATATATATATAGACTTTCATAGCAGCGGAATTTTTCATCATATCTGTGAGGGGAAGCGTGGCGGGCTGCGATCACGCCTGGGTCATGATCATCAAAACATTACCAGTTCTTCACCCGCCACCCACCACAGCCGGCCCAAGTCAGTGATAGTGATAATTATAGTGAGGATATGGACTTGTATGGACTTTGGGGAGTTTGACAAAGAGGCCCTGCAAGCCTCTGTGGTGGATAGTGATACAATTGATACAAGTGACACAGGTGAGGGCCAATAATCTGCCCTCTGCCTCGGAACCAACCGCCCATCCCCGTGTGCCCAGCCATTTTTTCTACTAATGCAAGTGTTAAATAACCTAATATTATTGATATTTCTCTTAATTATTAATTGTGTGTGCATACCATCATAAAGTTAAGATAATATTTTTACTTCAACATAGTTGTGTGTCGTCAAAAAGTGGAGTTTGGGGATCGGCCTGGACTCCATTTCAATTAATCCCATATGTTATGTTATTCACTTGGTTTTCCACTTAGCGGTACCCTGTGGGTTCAATTGACGCGTTAAGCGAGGTACTACTATATATATATATATATATATATATATATATATGTAACCCGTCGGAATTTACTGGACTTTATTTTCTCACTTGACTTAGGGTTTATTAAAGATTAATAGATGGTAATGGCAGTGGAAGCGCCCCTTTGAGAAAAATCCCGAACCAGCACAAGAACACTTAAATCTACTAAACAAAATGAACTGTCCGTGACCCGTGGAAGGATAGCGTCTGTGACTGGGATGAATGAGACACACTGTAAAATTTAGACACTTATATTCCCTCCAACACTACAAACACAATCAAATAATGGTACACCAATATGCGCACCTCTTAACTTGAACTTAAAACACTACTCTGGGGAATAAAAGTTATACATGATATAGAAATTATTAGAAACTCAGGCAACAATAAATTTGAAGTATTAAGAAATGTTGCTTGCACACATGAAACAGGCCTTAAGGGCTTTCAACAAAATATTATCCAGCACTGAGAAAATGGTATTCAAAAATAAGAAATTAATAATTCCACCATGAATAGGCCTAAAGGGCACTCAATATAATTATGTTACACCAACAGATGCAGGCCTTAAGGGTTTTCAACAAAATAATATCAGTCACTGAGGAAATGGTATTAAAAAATAAGAAATTAAACACTCTACAATGAATAGGCCTTAAGGGCACTCAATATAATTATGTTACACCAACAGATGCACACCTCCTAACCTAACTTAAACACTACTCTGGGGAACAAAGGTTATATCAGAGATTGAAACTATAAAGAAATTTTAAATGCACACAGCATACATTAGTAACTGAAAAAATAGTATTAACTACACACAAAAATATTGTCACAATTATAAAGACGTTACTGAGTCCAATACCCGTGAACCATGCTCCCTAACCTAACACACACACAGATTCCACCTGCACTCCGTAGTCGTTTAAGGCACAACCAACAGGCACCCGTAGTTGAAGGCCCAAATCAGCCTTTCTCCACCTTGGAAAGTGTACCTCTAAACTCCACTGACTCTTGGCCCCAGTGTGCGACCCTGTATCACTCAGCTGGCTTCACTTTACCCCCAGGTACATCCATAAAGCGGAAGGGAGTGAGCCAATCAGACCTTGTACAGTTGAGAGAAGCTTTAGCTTCCCGTTAGCAAGAGGGTTTCACTAAGCTGCTTGAAACATGTGGTATTGTGAGCCGAGGTAGAGGAGGGCTGATGACCCCAACGATCGTCCCGTCGTCAGCTGGGCACCCAGACGGCTAGATTCCCTCAAGAGATCCTTTGATACCCCACTAAACAGTGACAGGCCTACACTGATCGGTCCAATGGCGACAATCGCCACCCTCAATCATCAACGGCAGTCAATCTCTCGCAGTCAAACTCCGGTCAACTCCGGTCAAGTGGGTTCTGACGGAAACCCTGAAATGAACTCACTGTTAGCTCTTGTTAACTTTACCACTGCCCTATCTAACCCTGTCTGAGATCGAATGAGACTTACTTGTTATACTGCAATAGTGCAACACAGGTGACTAGGCCACGTGACTATTTCTGTGGACGGACGCGCAGGGATGTCCTGTAGGTCCAATCGCTTTCAAGTGACTGAGGACCAGCCAGCGTCGCGTCTCTCCAAGGCGCTAGCTTAGGCCTACGTGACATATTTTCCGCCTAACTAATAACTCCTTGGGACACCCGTGACATTATTCAGACTGATAAACGATCTATAATAATTTCAAATTCAATAATAGTCCCTTAACTTCATGAATCGCATCATTATTAATTCGGCAAATTACATTTAATATCCCTTAGGCCTAGTTCCACAACCTCTCGCGATGTGCAGGGAGCGCTCTCTTCCCTCGGACGACCTTGAAAGCTCAGTATTGCCAATTGCGCCGTGTTTGAAATTACTCTGAAATTTCTGAATATTACATATGTATATATATACATATATATATATATATATATATATATATATATATACATATATATATATATATATATATATACATATATATATATATATATATATATATATATATATATATATATATATATATATATATATATATATATATATATATATATATATATATATATATATATATATATATATATACATATACATATATACACAGTGAACCCTCACTTTACGCGGTCAATTGAACCCACGGAGCCCGCGTAAAGCGAGAAACGCGTAAAGTGAACAACATAACATGTTGGATTAAATGAAATAGAGACCGGCTGATCCCCAAACTCCACTTTTTCCGACACAATACCTATGTTCTAGTAAAAATAACATCTTAATGTTATGTTGGTACATGCACACAATTAATACTTAAGAGAAATACAGTCGCCAAGTTAATGTCCATTCAAATAATGGACTCAACTCCCTCCCCCTCTTCTCACACTCCTGGCTCTTCCCTCTCTGAGAAAAGTTTGGGGGAAAAACCACTAGATTTTAAGGTATAGTAATAAATAATACCTCAAACTAAAGTTAGGATAATATAATTGACATTGCTGGAATCCTTATAAGACCAGGAATATTTTGAATATAAATGTCATATATTTTGCACAAAAGATAACATATTTACTCAGAGTAAACCAAATACTTAAGAGTAGATCTAAAATTTGTATGTCTAATGCAAAATCTATGATGTTTATATTCAAAATGATCATCAAATAGTAAGAATTCCAGCAATGTAAATTACTGTATATTCTGGCCGGGTAATTTGTATGAATTTTATGAGCTAAAACAAATATCTTCAGTTAATAAAAAAAATATATTCTTCACGACACTATCTGTCAATCAAAGTACCCCCCCCCCCCCTCCCCCGCGCCAGATGGTCGGTCCCTCCCTACCAGAGAAATGTGTGGGAGAAACCAGAATATTTACCTTTTTAGTCATAAATAATACCTCAGACTAAAGTTAGGATAATATAATTGACATTGCTGGATTCCTTGCAAGACCAGGAATATTTTGAATATACACTTCATATATTTTGCACAAAAGATAACATATTTGCTCTGAGTAAACAAAATACTTAAGAGTAGCCTAGATCTAAAATTTGTATGTCTAATGCAAAATCTATGATGCTTTATTCAAAATGATCATCAAATTGTAAGAATTCCAGCAATGTAAATTATATTCTGGCCAGATAATTTGTATGAATTTTATGAGCTAAATAAAAAAATTATACTTCACCCGCGTATATGAGTAGATGCACCGCGTAAAGTGGGAATTCCGGTTCTGGCAGGGTACCACGTAAACGCGTAAAGTGGGACCGCGTAAAGCGAGGGTTGACTTATATATATATATATACACACACACACACGCACGCACACCAGTTAACGTCCGATTGCATATACGTCCGTGACCTAAAAAACTTCCGTGA